CAACTGATCGTATTCCCTCAACTACCCGCAATGTCACATGAGGGTCAGAGTTCTCACTTTTAAAGTAAGGCTGCTCGTCTGTTTCCAGAGTGCATGCAGCCGCAATACCCTCTGGCCCTAAATAGAGGGAGTGAACCTGTAAAGTGGAAGCAATTCTCACATGGTCTTCGAACCGAGTTATATCTACTTCTCCACTTTTTACGTAAAAAGCTGTACAATGTAAAGGGGAAGTACGTGCAGACAACGTATGCTCCAAGTAATAGCATTCAAGGAGCAAGTTCGTTTTATAAAACAGCATGACATGAATTAATAGTTCAGGATTTAACAATGTCCAACAGAAATAGCCTGGGGATTGCAACTTTGGGGAACTGGGAGAAACAAGGGAGCACAGTCTCGGGTATTCATGCTCAGGTGTCAGCAAGGTGATTCCATCTGGGGCGCACTTAATGATTATTCCCATTTTACACAGCAAATCCCATCCACACAAATTGATCGGCAATTCACTGTTTACTAGGAACTGGTGGTAACCCTCAATCGTACTTTCCCCTATGTCTCCCCTCACCTCAACGGATCATAGCCATCTCTATAGGCTTTCCTGATACGCCAACAACCGCTACAGTCCCGCTTTGCTGGACGGAGTTAGAATGAGTCAAAGCTGAATAAGTGGCCCCAGTATCGACAAGCAATGTCTTTACCTCCCCATCTACAGTTAAGCGAATACAGGGATCCGGGATATCCGAGTGTTTAGAAAAGCCACGGGATTGGGGAGTCAGTGGGGCCGCTAAACTTCATTGTGGTGAAAACTCTTCCGATATCGCAAGCATCTGGCGCGCCGGGGCTTGGTACTGGGACTGTGACTGTTGGAAACCCTGAGGTGCATAGACAATTTTACCTTGGGGGCAGAACTGGACCTGGGATCCCTGGCACCTATTAGGGCAATCTCGGGACCAATGTCCATATGCTCCACAGGCGAAGCAATTCTGGTTAGGACCTCTGGGCTGGGACGGAGGAGGAGGAGGACAATTCAGCCTATAGTTTGGTTGACTATATCTGTGATTGTACCCTGAATTATAGCCTCCTCCCCATCTGCCGTAACCTCCTCTACCCCGACCTCGTCCTCGCGTTCTTCGCCTCTGAAAACCTCTTATCTGTGTACTCATACCTTCTGGGCAAACCCATGTCCCAGGAGAGGCGGCGGCTTGCACTAGGGTGGAACTTAAGGCAGGGGTGGTAGGCACAGGTGCAGTAGTAGCGACGGGTAATTGTGCGTCTGTAGCCAACATGGGGCTCAGCCGATGCCAACCCACCAGCAATGGTAGAGACTGCCATCTCAAAAGCCGCTTTAGTCCCTTTTTCCCTTTTCGCCTCAAGCTGCTTGTAACAATGCTTTAATGTTGGCATTAAATCTATCATGACCTTGCCTTCCCACCCACATAAGGACTTGAACATGCCTTGCAATTCTTTCTCAAGACCTGCCACAAGCGCTGCCACAAAGGGCGACTGGTTGGCAGTCACATTCTCAATTCCCGAATAGCGCGAGAAAATTTTCCTAAACCTCTCAACATAATCCTCGAGAGACTCTCCTTTCTTCTGAGTACAGTCGCTAATTTTAGTCCAATCAGAGGTTTGGGGGTACAAATAGCGCAAGATTTGTATAATAGCTGTGAACATTTGTGGAGGGGCTGGCCCTGAGTTGTCTCCGACAAGGTTATTACACCGATGCCTAATTTCTCTTAGCATGTGGTGTCCCTTGGAAGGGGGCAACCATGCTTCCAAAAACACGATCCAATCGGGCACAGTAGGATTATGACACAAACGCATAATAGTCAATGCCCTTTCAGCCTTGGCAAAATCTACATCTGGGAGGGGGGTTAGCAAAATCAAATCTTTTAGTTCAGTGGCTGTCCATGGGCGGTAAATTTTCATTGTGCCCCCGATAGGGGCTGGAAATTCGCGCATAGGGAACATTAATGGTCCACTGTCGCTCACGGATCCTGCCGGCAAGGAGCCGTCAGTAGGCAAGGAATATGGTGGCGGAGCAGAGGGATAGGGGTCAGGAATGGGACAGGATATGTAGGGAGTGCTTGCCAGCTGACCCAGGTTAATGGGAGCAAACGTGTCCGATCTTCCCATGGAGGACAGAGGTGAACTGAATGAGCCCGGTGAGGGGGTAGCCGATATGGTTGACCGTCCTCCTATGGTCGACACCGAAGAAGCTGGGAACACAGCCAAACTACTTGGATGTGTCCGTATATTTGTGGGGGAACCCGTCAAAGTAGAGGCAGAGGCTACATTGGGATATTGGCATAAACCGGTTGCTGCAAGAGCTGCTGCTATTGTCAACTCCTCATCCTCATTATAACCCGTCGAAGGGGCAGTTTCCTCAGCTGCCTTCCTTTCCTTTTCTGCCTTATTTCGTAGCTGCTGAGCCACCATTACCTTTGCTGCTGAGTTTTGTCGACTGGCCAAAACACTCTGCGCCTATCGTTTTTCACTTTCAGTAATCCACAATTTAAGCGCCTCTATTTGCGGGGTCATATTATGCTTTCTGCAGACACAACTACCGCACCCACCTTGCTCAGATTTGGCATGGACCGTTGCCTGAAGATCGGCAATACGGTCTTTATTAAAGGATCCGTCTGGAGGCCAAGAAAATGGTTGGCCCTTAGTTAATTTAGTCCAGGTCCGCAAATAGCAAACACTGTGCTGGCCAAAATGACTTTCCATATAGGCAGCTGGGGTGCCCTTATCTCCCTTCTGAGCCGAGCTAAACGTTTGTCCCATGACGATTGTTAATAACAAAGTAAATGGCCTCCCCACCACAATTAAATACACACAAGTAACTGAATGACTTAAACTTCAACGGCCGATTTCTTATACATACAAGACCTTAACTTATCAAGACATCTAACTTATCAATTACAACTTATGATATTAGGGACTCGAACCCGTAGTCGACTTAATATTAGGGACTCAAACCCGTAGTCTACTTAACCTTAATCCTAGGGACTCGAACCCTTAGTTTAACAACCTTAATATTAAACAACCTTAATAATAAACAACCTTAATATTAAACAACTTTAATATTAAACAACCGATCGGAGTTATAACTTCATCTGTGTCGGGCGGAAACACCAGCGGCCGACTTCCCTGAAGACGTCTTATCCATGTACTATACCTTATAGTACTAAACCACCTGGAATCATTTAGGTCTAACAAATCGCAATTTTGCACCTTAAATCGAAGAGGTCGGGAACCCTCGACAACCACGTCTCAACAACGTATCGTACACAAACAATGGTAAGAATGCTCACCTGTGCGCGATGTTTGTGCTGAAGGGGAAACCCGGTCTTTCGATCTCGGTGGAACCTCCAAATTGTTAAACCCAGATTGCGATGTGCGATTGCTCTTAAAGACCTGAAAACTCAACACGGAGTCAGTGCGGTATACATCCAAAAAGCTTTATTTCATATATATATGAGATGCAGAGCGGTAGCAACAACTCTCCCAAGGTACTGCTCCCCACACTGCACACCAGAGAAAAACAACATCTGACCTTTATACATGTTCCATTTTCCCATAATTGGATGTCTGTTTCTTTCATAAAAAGAGATATGGGTCCCGGGTTCCTTAGCACAATAACATATACATTGATAGTTGCGAAACCAAAACAAAGCTGAGTTTACACCAAATGCGAAAACATATTTTGTCTCATTGCCTTTGCTTATTCTGTAACTTTTGCGATTGCCCAAAGATGTTACATTCCCACACTTTCCACAGAACCCAAGGCGAGTGCTCTAACCATTACTCTACAGGACTCCACAGGACATTAATCTAATTAGGTCACTAAATAAATGGAAATTGTTGTTGCTCCATTGGAGCAACAATAGAGTTGGCATAAATTGTTTTTTTCCATCAATGTTTTCCACAAACTAGTCCCTACTCGCCAGGACAGACTCTCTGAACAGGTTTGTGTGTGTCAGGTATGTGGGCAATGGTAATAAGAGCACCTGATGTGCTGCAGAAGACTGACGGAGTGTCCAGGCTTGTCAGATACACAGCCCTGTGTGTAACTAGTGAACCAGCAGAACTGCTTTTTAGCCCTTTTTTCTTTTTAAAACATTGTCGTTCATGTCGACTAAATCATAATAATAATTGGAATAAATTTCAGCGGGTCTGTGTCTAGGATGAGAATACACACACACACACATAATAATAATCCTTGCATTTGACATTGCGCTTATCACGTCTTCTCGACATCTCAAAGCGCTTCACAGAATAGACTGTAAAGTGAATTGGCTGTATATTTGTGGGCGAAACGCGGCAGCCAAATGCGCACAGCAGTGTCCCACAAACAGTTGTGGATTGAAAATGTCCAATTTACTATTGTTTTGTTTTGGAGGGATTATCATCAGGCGTGTGGAGTAAGGAAACTTGCCCAAGGTTTTGCCCTGCCTGGAATTGAACCCAGGTGTCTCGCTTGCAAGGTGAGTGCTCGAATCACTGAGCTGCAGGACATACACATACTCACATACACACTCTCACACACTCATGGTAATAGAGAGCAATCTTGATAACAGTGCAATAAATCAATAAATAAATGCCTTCTAAATTCAAACAACTACATCGCCAGGTGAACTCTGTGGCCTGGGCAGGTATGTGCAAGACATGCAGTCCAGGGCTAACCTGTGGAAGGTGGACAATGAACGTTTTGAGGTGAGAATGTGAGTTTAAAGGCTGAAGCTGGCAGGTAAATAGCCCCAGCACAGACACCATAAACTTCTCTGATTTCAGCTATGTTCTGCTGCTATGGAACCTGTTTGTCTTTGTACCTGTGTCTCTGCCATAAAAGGAAGCAGGAAGTGGATGGAGGCAGCTCTCACCATGGTGACCATCTTACACTCCCTAGTCTCAACTCCACCCTCCTCCCCAGGTACAGCAGGTAAAGGCACTTCCCTGCTCTTCACTCTGTGTCCCAGCCTCGCTGCTCACACCACACACTGGCTGTTCGCACACTCAGAGCCAAGGCTACAGGTAGGAGAGGACCTCCCTCTAACTCTGGCTGTGCTCTTGTTGTTAGGATCTCTCCCTGTTTATTTGCCTGTTTCTCTGTCTGTTCAGATCTGAAGACATGGGGCTTGCTGTGCTGATCTTGGCTTTGTTGCAGGCACACACACTGAGAAGGGTACTAGGTGAGTTTGAGTTCAGGTGTTGCTTCATAAGCACTTGTCACCACTTCATGGCCAAACATTGCCCAACTAATTAGGAAAGTTTTCTGTCCTTAAACTGCAGTAATACCCGATCATGTAAAGCTGTTCACTGTGAAATAAAGGAACTGAAATGAAATTGAAACATCTCGTTGTGCTTGTCACAATCAAATAGTGTCTAACTCTTTAAGTTATGGGACTGACAATCCCTCCACATTGCATTCTGATTTAATAGTGGAGTCCTGTAGCTCAGTGGTTAGAGCCCTCGCCTCGCAAGTGAGAGGACCCAGGTTTGAATCTTGGGCAGGGCGAAATATTGGACAAGTTTCCTTACTCGACGTGCCTCTGTTTAACTAGCAGTAAGTAGGAACCCAGTTGTTAGTTGATTGGCGGATCACTTTCCTGGAATTATACTCCCTTCAAAAAAATAATAAGTTGGTCACTCAATCCATAACTGGTCCATGACTCAATCCATGACACAGTCACTCCACTTTACAGTATATTCTTTGATACATCTCAACGGCGCTATATCAAAAACAAATGCAAGGATAATGTGTTTACCTATTGAGGTGTGCTGTATTAGTTCCTGGGTTCATTCAGCCAGTGTTGTCCACTATTCCCTTGCGTTGTTTTCACAGCAGGTTCCTGTTTGTCTGGGGGTGCAGTGACTTGTGAAGAGTGTTTGAAGCTGGGGCCACAGTGTGCCTGGTGCTCCCAAGAGGTACAGTACAGCAAACATATTTCAAAACCTTACCAAGTCCTTGAAGAATGCACAAGAAATTTACCCTCCTATTAATGTAAGAGTTACGTGACATTTGGACTTTTTTTTCCCCTTGATGTTAGTTGTTCGTGAGTTGGGTCATGAGATTAATGGTTAATCTATCCAAACCACAGCCTTCTGTTTAAATGTGTATGCATCACTTGTGACTGTTACAGTCCAGGGAAGTGCAGTAAAAGTCAATGAATAATTTGTTTATGGGCATATCGTCATATGCAAAGATAATTGGTCATAATGTAATTCATTGGACAACTGGCAATAGCTCTTAACTTCATGTAAATAAGTACCTCTTTTGTAATGAGGATGTGGGTTTATCTGGTCTCAAATGAATCTGATGTATGGCTGAGATCTGAATCTACACGGCAACTTTACACCGTAAAGCAAAACTAGTTATTGCAAACATTTGATTTTGGATGCCTTTGACTATTCTTGCATCATAAATGGAAAAGTCCATCGTATTAAATACACTTCTCATATGAAGGCTGGTTCGGCACACACTCCTCGCAAATGTTTTTTTCTGTTATTCAAACGTGTTGACATTATAGGACTGCACTGCTCTAGGGACTAATTGTTTCCTGATCTTCTAGTTGTGGGAAGGTCATTGTTTGGCCTATTGTTAGGAATGCAAATCCTCATGTCTTGTTAATTTGATACATCTTCAGTCCTGGTTACTTTGATGTTCAACACAAGGTGTGATCCTATTTGCTTTCAGGACTTTATTGATGATTCTGGCTCCAGTGAAAGATGTGGGACTTTTGAGAATCTCTTACAGCGCAGATGTCAGCTGGAGTTTATAGATATGCCCAGCAGCCAACTTATAGTCGTGAGGAACAAGTCTTTAAGTTTAAGCAACCAAAGGAGTGAGGGGAAAGCAACACAAATGTTGCCACAAAAACTCACACTCAAACTGAGACCAGGTAAAGCCAGACTGTACGGAGGTCAACTGCACATAAGCACGTTCTCACCATTATGTTAAGTGTAGTCATCTCGTTCAAATAATATTTGTTTTTTAATTCCTTTTAAGCTATCAATAACTTCACTTCATCAGGTATTTGCAAAAGTGCTTTATTGCTGAATGAGGGTGGTCCAACTGGAGGCCTGAAGGCCACATCCGGCCCCCCATTTTTAGTCATTTGCAAGCGTGTTAATTGAACATATTGTGTTCGCAAGGCAAACTAGTTCTTTTCAAATACCTTTTATAAAAGTGTGTAGCGGAAAATTATTTTGGGTGAGATTAATGTAAGATTGTAAAGAAACAGCTTAATAAATCATAATACAGTAATGCACATTCAGAAATGCTACATTTCACAGCATCCATTAAACAGCGTTGTAAAGGCATTCTAGCTTTCCATATGTAGGACAATCCATGATTAAATGTAGAACCTTGTGTGACAGGCCGCCCGGTGACTGTGCGAGTGGATGTCAGACAGCTGGAGGATTACCCCGTGGACTTGTATTATCTCATGGACGTTTCTGCTTCGCTCATTGAAGACCTGGAGAGGATTAAAGAACTGGGTTCTTCTCTATCCACAGAGATGGCCAAACTGACCAGCAACTTTAAACTGGGCTTTGGATCCTTCGTGGAGAAACCAGTTTCTCCTTTTATAAAAACAACTGCTCCAGATTTGGCCAACCCGTGCTGGTACGCCATCTGAATTGTTGTGAATGAATGTGTGCATGCTGACCCTGACTGTTAAGTAATGCACAGCTCTGCGTTCAATAGGTGGAGAGAGATGCAAACAGGACCTTGTAAGTAGTAAACAAGCGTTTACTTGTACAAACAACTGTTACTGGTGTCCAACGATGCCTTGTTTAACTAAGCTGCTGCTTCTCTTAATCGTAATTCAAGCAATGGCAACAGTCCCATCAACGCCACCTTTTCAGGAGACATTTTATGTGCACAAGATACCTGCTCTTTTAGAAACTTCTAAATTTATCTTTAAGAAACTTAGTTAAAACGTAATAACAGTATAAAATGTGTTAGTTTAAGTAAAAACTAATTTAAAAATTTTGTTTTAGTCAGCCGGGTGTCTGACACCTACGAAAACCCATCACCGTTGCTTAAGAGGATCCAAACCCAACTGAGAATTTCCCACATCCCACCTACACATGGAAATTCCCAGAGATAGATTGTTGGAATGGAATGTGCACTCTCTCTCTTTCTCCCTGGAGGGATGCTTCCTGCTTACCTAATTCCGGACTGTATTAGGCACAGGTTGGCAAGAGCCAAGGCTTGAGGGAGCCCAGAGTAAACCAATTTAAGTTGCATCAAAGGTATATAATACAAATTGCCGAGCATTGATTTGGAGAATTGATTGTTTGAGCACATTTCTAAATCTGCAGGAAAGCCTGAAGTAACTTCTAGAACTCTGTTGTTTGGTTTACAATGTGCTCCCTATCTCGTGAGCTCAGGACTATATAGAATTGGAGAACTATATTGTATCATGTGTTCTTTTCACACAGGCAACACCATGTGAACTGTTTGCCCCCATTTGGTTACAAACACCTTCTCGCACTAACTGAGGACACCAACAAATTTAATGAAGTTGTTCAAAAACAAAGCATTTCTGCAAATATCGACATGCTTGAAGCAGGATTTGATGCAATAATGCAAGCAGCTGTGTGTAAGGTAAGCTCAACATTTTAACTTGTCTGTTGGGTTAATCGATTGAGGACAAACTGATAAAAATATTTTAAATCTAGTTACCGAAGCATTAAAGGCAAATTGAAATCTATTTTTCAGGAGAAAATTGGTTGGCGTAATGACTCCTTGCACTTGTTAGTGTTTGTGACCGACGCTGACACCCATTTTGGAATGGACAGCAAGTTGGCTGGAATAGTCATCCCTAATGATGGAAAGTGTCACTTAGATAGCAACAGTGAATACTACAAGTCAACAGTCATGGTAAAGAACAACATTTAAAAATCAATAATAGTGTGTTTACTTGCAGGATATGCATGCTCAAAAGTAAAAGGGAGGTTTTGTGATCTGCAGGAACATTAGGTGTTCAGTTAACCAAGGAGCAACACAACAACAAATGACGTTTTACACAGTGCCTTTTATGTCGAGAGGGCGTCCCAAAGCGCTGGACTGTCAAGAATGTGCCCCCAAGCTGGGGGTTGGGACCAGGAGAGGTGGAGGGCAGGAAGGGTGGGTGTAGGAGGGTAACCAAGGGCGCGGTTGAAGAGAAGGTTCTTGAGACAGGCCTTGAAGGCGGCAAGAGAGGGAGCGAGACCAAGGGACTGTGGCATTGAGTTCCAAAGGATTGAGGGCAGAGAGGCTGAAGACTTGACCGGGCCAGACCAGGACGGGCAGGCGGGGGATGTGGAACAGCACAGCAGTGATAGTGCCCATGGAGAGGCTGTGGAGCCCATCATGCTGTTCTCCTGACCAAGATTATAGTTTATGAAAATAAACTTTTTTTAAAGATTGTGTTCTGATTCACACACTCTAAAGTATATGGATGCTAAGAAATCAGAGTAACAAACAATTCTAAAAACAGCCTTTCAAATGGGCTTCTAGCTCCTGAGATTAAAATACTGGGCTTTTATGGAAGTGGGTAATCCTTGATTTTAATATGAACTTTCAGATGATGCATTGGCGCCTGTTAATGGTGCAGTAACAGTAAAGTTGGTGAATTGGTTATGTATGTGGTTGATCTGGTTACATTGTAATCATACAAATACATCATTGTGTATTATCTGTGGGTTTGCTTCAAGCACGCACAGAAACACAATGCCAATGATTATTATCTCCTGTCCAGTCTTATTCCAACATGTTTAGGAATTGTAAAGAGATCAAATCCACTGCCATGTTTGTGAGGATAGGTTTGAAGTTTATTGTTCTAACAACGGTTGGAATTGAAGCATTTATTGTAATATCAAAGTAGATTGGTAACCTATGGTGACAAATGTCGCAGTTCCTAAAATGCTGTAAAAACAGTCAAATCATCAGGTCAATTTGCTAGGTTATTGCCCGAAGCAGTTGGAATAAGCTGAGAGGTATTGGATGTTGCCATGTACCCTGGCTATAATAGCGTTTTATACTGCGAGAGACACAGAGCCAGTTCATCTGTAATCCTCTGAGGCCATTCGTGTTCGGCAATGAGTTCTAGTCGCTTCACACAGTGACAACACAGAAGCTATTTCACAAGAAAAACTCCCAATGTGCGTGTAAATTACTGTCTAGTTAAAAAAAACTATATTAAGTCAGCATTTGAAAAGACTACATCAGCATATTTCTTTGAAGAAACTTTTTTCCAAGTTGTACATGACAACTTTGTTTTCTGATCTGGTCAAGTAATAATAATAATCCTTGTATTTGATATAGCGCTTTATCATGTCATTGAGGCATCTCAAAGCGCTTCCCAGGATGTAGAGTAAAGTGAGTTGACCGTATTTTGTGGGCAAAATAAGTAAATGAAAAGGTAAGTGAAAATGGCATCTGCCATGTGCTAGGCTAGGCTCCAGCCAGGCTCAGGCCAACAATGACCAGTTCTGCCCAAGGCAGAGGGAGGCACTATTAGTGATGCTGTCTGTGGTATTGCTCCTCTCCAGAGGGAGATCAAGATAACAGCAGCTTCATTTATGACGAGTGCTGTAATCTGGCCTGGTGAGCCAGTGTGGGAACCTCACTCACAGCCTTGGGTGGCCTGACGTCTCCTGATAGGAATGTACAGAATCGTAAAAGCTCATTGTGTGCATCTGTCTGGTCCCAAAGCCACATACATTCTTACACAGATTATATTAGGTTATAAGCAAAGACACAAAAGAAAATGACTCCAAATATCTCTGGAATTTCCATGTGTAGGTGGGATGCATGGAATTCTCAATTGGGTTTGGAGATTCTTAAATGCAATGATGCGTTTCTGCACGCGTCAGACACCCGGCTGACCAAAATAAACAGTAACACAATTATGGAAAATGTTTAAATATATACAAAACTGTGTAGTTTTAGTAAAATACATATTCAATGTTTTACTTAAAGGAATATCCCTCACTTGGACAACTGATAGAAAAGCTTGTGGAAAATAATATTCTATTGATTTTCGCTGTGACCGACAAGCAGGTGAACGTATATAAGGTAAGGTGTACTGATTATGGAAAAACTCTGGAGCATTAAGGTGATTGTGTATTGTAAATTACGATTGCTCATTCAGGGTTGACAGTACTAAAGTGTAGACCATGTGCTTTTACCCAATTTTCATAACTTGAGGGAACAGATAAGCACTTGCATCATGGCACAGGTCTGATGAAAATAGCACAAATTCAATAATCTATTATTTATATAGTTTAATTTCTGAGAAATTGTAAACTTTTGTGAACTCCAGCAAATGATTGACCAAAATATACAATGGCTGTGACCTTGGTTTATTACGATAAATATTCAACATACAAAGAATAATCCAGAACTATTAACAGCGTGAACAGTAAAACTAACAATAACTTTAACAATAAAATCTTCCTGTCAATCAGTGCAGAGCATTGATTATGGATTATTTACAGCTGGAATATGGTACGTGTCTCCCCACAGGTCAGCTCGCAGCATGGCCAGGGGCCAGGGTTCTGGTGCCTGTGTTGGGAACTCCTGGCCCACCCTCATGTGCTTGTTGTAGACAGACAGATTCCTCTGTGTCTTGGTCTGCACTTGGCGGGTTCGTCATGTCTCTCCTCCGTGTCTTTGAGCCATATCTTTGATAATTTGTAACCAATTAATAGCAGTAAGTCTTGTTTATACATGGTGCGGCACTAACATTGTCCTCGAGACTGACTGTAACTGTGACCTTGGTACAAACAGTCTGAATGTGGTCTGAATAAGCCTCCAGGAGTTCAGACAGAGTCAGTCTACCTCACACGTCTATTGTTGCCTCGATTTTTGCAGTTGTCAATTCCAAAAGAACTCAACTTTGCTCTATGAATCAGAGGAAATTGATCTTGGAATGTTATCATTGATTGCATAAGAGGTAATTTGCTTGGTTCTTGGTTGGAAGTTTCAAAAATTAGATATACAAATATAAATATAAAACTCACAGTATTGAGTGTTTGTTACCTGTTTGTCATTTCCACTAGTTACTATATTTGTTGCTGTCATCACATCAATACTCATATATATAATGTTTTTCTCACAGAATTATGTGAACTTTATTCCTGGTGCCACAGTGGACATGCTAGAAAAAGATTCTGAAAATATCCTTCAATTGATTATCAAAGCCTACAAGGTACTTCCGCAGTTTTTAATATCAAATAAAAAATATGTGAGAGAAAGATAATCTCCATGTTCTGAACTGGTCTCAAGCAGTTTGTGAGCTAAATGCAAAGTGAGTTTTATAATGTCCTGATTAAGCTCTTATTTCACTTCAAGAATGCAGTTGAGGCTCAATGGTTTTATACTAATTAGAATAGATACCTCAAAGCCTCACAAACTGCTCCTGACTGTAAAGTCACCTCCTGACTAGAATTACAGCCTGAAACTCTCATTCAACAACAATTTGCATTGGCACAGCTCCCCCTCATGCAGGGCAATGTCCCAGAGCATGTGACACTGGCAGAGAACGACACCGAGCCAGGGGGAGGGAGGGGGAGGTGACGGTTGAGAAGGAAGGTCTTCAGGCGTGCCCGGAAGATGGGGAAGGAGGGGGACAGGTGGAGGGATTGAGGAAGAGTGTTCAAGAGTTTGGGGGGGTAGTGGCTGAAAGTGCAGCCACCAATGGTGGAACAGAGGCCATGAGGGATAAGCAGGAGCCTGGAGCCAGTCAAGCGGAGGCAGCGGGTAATGGGTGGGGAGTGAGTCGGTCAAACATTCCCTTATTGGCAAAAGTTCAGGTATAGAGTTAATCATCATCTGCTAAACTGACTTTGTTGGAGCTGCAGTCGATTCCAGACTTGCCTCATTGTCGTTCACGTACACATTCTTTGGGACTTTTGTATTCTCATCAACTCATCATCTCCTAAGGCTCACAGCTACACCTTGTTGTGCTGCCACCTCAAAAACACACGCTGCAAATTACTCTTATTCCAGTCAAGGTGCCTTGGCTTCTTGTTAATATTGGGGAGTAAATGCTGGAGGTAAACACTATTGCTTTGTCAGAGAGACATAAATTCATGGAAGTCTCTTTCTTTCTTGCTTGTTTTCTCTCTCTCTCTAATTGCCTGATTCACAGTCTGAAGGTAAGGACAGGGACAGGTTTATGCAAGCCATGTCTGCTTTTAAAACTAGCAACATCAAAGCTCTATTTACCTGTAGCAATAGTGTTTAACATTTATAATGAGCTGCTGCATACCAACCGTTCATTTCCCTACTAAATTCTTCAATGAAAAGTGTGGGTAAAGTTGGCTCAGGAATGAAAGTTATTAGATTCTGCATCTTGGGTTACAAGATTAACACTGAGATCCAAGATTATAAAACTAGTTTAATTAATACTTTGTCATGTTATTTTCTCTGTATTGTGATATTTGAAATTAATATCCAAGTTCAAATTCAGGTATGTCTTAATTTGAATTTAAACCCAATGTTCATGTTTAAAAGTCAGTGTCAAACAGTTGAAAGTTAACCACAGAATCAATAAAAAAACTTTACCCATCTTTCTAGGTCTTCCCTCCCTGTCTCCCTCCTTTCCCGCCCCTCCCTGTCCCTTTCCCTCCCTCCATTGTCCTCAGACTTGCCCTGACTGAGAGTGCAGGGCCCTTCAGTTTTTAATTAGTGACCAGATTGACAGGACATTAATTCAGCTGAAGTCTTTCTCTGACAAAGCGCGTGCTTCCCAACAGGGAATGACTGAAACCAGAAACTCCGTGTGGGAAATTACAGTGAGATTCTGCATCTAACCAGTCATTTCACATTGAGTGATGGTCTAATTACCGTACCCACAAGATGTTAAAAACAGATTTTTGGGGACGATTTAAATAAGATGAGTTGGATCTACAAACTTTGAAACTACACTGTAATGTACATCTTGTACAAGTGTCTGATATCAGCTGTAGAAACAAAATATACTACCTGTTATATTTTATTCCCAGCACTGACATCACAAGAAAACACTACCAATTTTAGGGTGCTTCTTAAGGAAAGTGGATCTAATTTTACATTTACAAAGAGTGTTTTTTTACATTGCCATTCAGCTTTCTTTAAGAGGATTTTGATAGCTGCTGGGATTGCAAATATAGAAAAAAAATAATGGTTAACTATTTTAACAACAACTTGAATTCCTATAGCCCCCTCATGAAGGGGAGTGTCCTGGAGCGCTGGACTATTGTAAATATATTATTAGTACTTTGTAAAACTTAGCAAAACTTAATTGTTTGTATTTCAGAAAAAGCCACAATCCTCTGGTCGCTATGTATCTTTCTCTTGTATTGTGAAAGTCAGTTGTTTGTGGTGCACAAAATTGAAGAAGTTGCTACAAACACATTCTCCCATAAAATGCTACTCTCTCACGGAGGTTTAACATCAGCACATAAAACCCTCCATCCCTACCAGACACTGAACACTCGATTCTTATTGACACACAGAGAGATTGTACAATATAAAATTCTAATGAATGAAACAACCTTTCCTGTGTTCCCAGGAACTGCGTTCTGAGGTAGAAATGGAAGTCACGGGAGACACTGAGGGAGTAAGAATGTCTTTCACTGCTATTTGTCAGGACGGCACCATCCACCCTGGGCAGCGGAAATGTTCCCATCTCCACCTCGGGGATATGGTGTGTATTGGGTTTTAAAGCTAATTTTAAATGTCCTGAGCATGTTGATTTTTTTACTTTGAACCCATAATAATTATTATAATAATAATCCTTTCGCCCACAAAACATACAGTCACTCCATTTTACAGTATTGAAGCGCTTTGAGACATCTCGAAGACGTGATAAAGTGCTGTATCAAATGTAAGGATTATTAATATGATCCTTACAGTTGTTACAGTGGCTTTCATGCTGGAAAGAGTCTCAAAGCACTTCACGGGATATACTGTAAAATGGAATGACTGTGTTTTGTAACAAGTAACCTGGCTGCCATTATTATCCAAACAAGAGTTCAGTAAAAGATACAGTAACGTTACTACAGTGATAGCAGCATCATAATAATAATACTAATAGCATCATAAATCATCATAAAGTGTAATTCAATTGAAGTGCCTTAATAATAATAATAATAAGTGCCTTATTTCCTAATAGTGATGTCTCTCTTACTCACATCTGCCACAGACCAGATGTTGCTGATCTAATCAATGTGGGTTAGAGACACAGCTGCCTATACCTTGCGCTAAAAAGTCAACATTGTGAGAGGAGATAAACACCTCAACTAATTCCACTTACTATTTCTTCTGTCAGGAGGATCCATTTGCCACAGAAACTACCTAGTAACTGATTTTGCCACCCCACTGGAAACAGACTGTTGTCATTCAGTATTGTGGTGTGTTACACAGGGCCACAAGCTTACAGCACTTCCCCATCACTGGTAACACATAGCGTGAAGCATAGTAAAGTTGCTGGCACGACAGAGGAATTGTTTATCATCAAAAAATAAAACTTCACGTTAACAATTAATATTGAAATGTAGAAACCACATCAACAGAATTTATAATACATATGTTTAAGTGACTATTCATGGCAGTAACTTCTGTCGACTTGTCAAGGCTAACATAATCATATAGAATAATAATCCTTGCATTCAATATAGCACCTTATCATGTCTTCGAGACGTCTCAAAGCGCTTCACAGAATATATTGTAAAGTGAATTGGATGTTCTAGATGAAAAATGCCGAATTTGATATTCTTTATTAGCATTTACAAATGAGACGTTAAAGTACTATTTTTATTCGACTTCAGGTTTCTTTCAACGTGACGATAGAATTGGCCGAATGTTTGAAGAAACCCAAGCACATCGTCATCAAGCCTGTGGGATTGAGAGACACCCTGGAGATTGAGATACAAGCAGCTTGTAGCTGCCAATGCCAGGCCAGAGCAGAACACAACAGCTCTAAATGCAGCGATGGCAATGGCTCTTTTCAGTGTGGAGTTTGTGTCTGTGATGCTGGTCGATTGGGTCCTCACTGTGAATGTACCGAGGACAGTATACATACAAGCACCTGCAAACACAGCTGGGCTAACACTACCTGCAATAGCCGAGGAGACTGCTACTGTGGGCAGTGTGTCTGTCACCTCTCCGAGTTTGGGCGTATATACGGTGCCTTGTGCCAGTGTGATGACTTCTCCTGCGTCAGGTTCAAAGGGCTCCAGTGTGGAGGTAAGTAACGCTTCATTTTCAAACAGTTATTACTTTGCAGACAATTTGTTTGCAGACAATAACATTCAGGTTTTGCAATATAAAAAAACATCTATTCAAAACATAATAATGATTTGGTCACTTCAATCCATGACTGTTTGTGGGATGCAATTGGCTGCCACATTTTGCCCACAAAATATACAGTCAATTCACTTTACAGAATATCCTGTGAAGCGTTTTGAGACGTCTTGAAGATGTGATAAAACATTGTATCAAATGCAAGGCTTATTAACTCTACTGTATTGCTGAATTTAAAGCCATGTTTGTATATAAACATATTAAATATTCAAAGCTGACAGAGACTCACATTAATACAGTACACCATCACTGAGTATCGCTGGAGCTTGCTATAGTCTACATTCTGCAGAATCTGATGAATTAAATTGGTCTGTAATATTTCATAGAGGAGCAGCAAAGGTATTTCAACGAAGCCTTAACAAAAAATAATTCATGTGTTAAATTGTCATGAAGAGGCTGGGCACAGAGACTAACCTCAGTGTTTGCACTTAATTGGTTTTTGCTCATCCACATACCAACATCAACATGTTTGAAATTGAAACATGTTAGAAGGATTGAGTCACATTTTCAGGTGGTATCTGTGTGCCGGCAGCTATTACTACAGCTGTGTCTCTATACAAACCGCGGCTTTCATTAACAGTAACAATACAATCAGCAACAAGACAGACGTCACTGGGAACACGCAACAGGTCAGGCAGCATCTATGGAGAAATGAAAGTGAGTCAACGTTTCGGGCCTATGATCCTTCATCAGAAGGAACGAAGGGTCGCGGACCCGAAACGTTGACTCACTATCCTTTCTCCACAGATGCTGCCTGACCTGCTGAGGGTTCCCAGCCACGTCGGTGTTTGTTTCAGATTTCCAGCATCTGCAGCATTTTACATTTTGAATACAATCAGCAAGTCTGTTTAAACATTTAATTGTTTTTAAAAAATTACCATTGTTTTCTTATGATCAGCCATGACCTAATAGAATGGCAGAACAGGCTTGAGGGGCTGAATGGCCTCCTCCTGTTCCTGTGTTCCAATGTTCTCATTTTAGATTTGCTGCCTTAGCATGTGAAAAGCCTTTTTAGGGAGATAAATGCCTTCCTCCCTCCCCCACCTCTTGGGACCTGAATGCTCACTGAACGATGTGACCGTCTTCAAGCAGAATTTTTGGAAAATGTACAATAATTCCTAAATTGCAATTCAGTTATGGTTTGTGCTGCTCGTGTTCTGTCAGGCGCTCTGGGACGCTACCCTGCGTTAGGGGCGCTATCGATATACGTGCTAGTTGTTGTTGTTGCTGGTTCAATTCCTATCTCTCTCACCGTCTCCACTTTGTTGCCTCTAACAGTTTCTCCTCCAGCCCCCGCACTGTCACATCTGCCGTCCCCCAGGGCTCTGTCCTTGTCTCCTCTTTACTATCTACATGCTCCCCCTCGGTGACATCATCCGCAGACATGGGGTCAACTTCCACATGTATGCGGATGGCACCCAACTCTATCTTTCTGCCTCCACTCTCAACTCCAGGACCACTGCTGTCCTCCCAGACTGCCTGTCGGACATCAAGTCCTGGATGAGGGCAAACTTCCTGCAGTTGAATGTGAACAAGACTGAGGCCCTCCTGATCGCACCTCAGGTTCTGGCAACATCAACCTCCATAGTTCCACACTTCAACTCACCAGCCAGTCAGGAACCTGGGTGTCTTGTTCGACCCTCAACTGTCTTTTCTTCCCCACATCCAAGCCATGACCCGCTCTGCCTTCCCTCACCTCTGTAATATCACCTGACTCCGCCACTACCTCACCCCTCAGGCCACTGAAACTCTTGTTCATGCCTTCATCACCTCCAGGCTCGACTATGCAAACACTCTGCTTGTCGGCCTTCCCAACTCCTCCCTCCACAGGCTGCAGATAATCCAGAACTCTGCAGCCTACGTCCTCTCCCTCATCAAGCTCCGTGACCCCATCTCCCCCATTCTCGCCCGACTTCATTGGCTCCCTATCCTTCAGAGGATCCAGTTCAAAATCCTGCTCCTCACATACAAAGCCCTCCATGGCCTCGCCCCAACCTATCTCTATGACCTCCTAATCCCTTACCAACCTGCCTGTTCCCTCCACTCAGCCGGCTCTGGCTGCTCCACGTCCCTTGACCCACCCGCCCCACCATTGGTGGGAGAGCCTTCAGCCACTCTGCCCCAAACCTCTGGAGCTCCATCCCCAAATCACTCCGCCTCGTCCCTTCCTTAGCCTCCTTCAAGTCCCGCCTCAAGACCCTCCTCTTCGACCATGACATCGGCCACCCCCCTTCCCCTCCCCACCATTCCCCTCCCGACCCCAGCTCGGGTCTGAAATGCTGTCACTGTTCAACGCCTTGGGACGTCCTCCTGATGTGAAAGGCGCTATACAAATGTAATCTTGTTGTTGTCCCAGACAGGAGGTTAAAGAAAAGCTGAATTGGGTGTCTTGCTAACAACAACAACTTTGGGTTTATATAGTGCCCATCATGCAGGGCAGTAGCTCGGAGACTTATCACTCTGTGTGAGGTGTTACAGTCTGTTTATTTCTGACATTGATTTAAAATTATGTTTCACTGGTTTTAATTCAGTTAGACCGAAATAAAGCCTGAATCGTGAACACTGGCAACTGACTGATTGCTCAGAATGACTGACAATTGATACCTTGACAAGTTAGTGTGATAGTATCAGAGACAGAAAACAAAGCACTTGGCTGTGGGTGGGTGGTAAAAGCACACAGTAGCGCAAGGTAATTACTATCCCCATCAGGGCTGTTTTCAAAAACCTGCCATTAAAAAATGCTTGGGTTTCTCTTACAATGTTCAGACATTATAATGCCTTACGCTGTGAATAATTTTGTTTTATGCTTTGAAGTGACTCCAGAACCTTGTGTTTAAATACGCTCCACTTTTCCCCCCAGTTACTGTGAACATGTATCTGCCCGATTCCTACCCTCAAACAATACAAATCCGATTATTGAGAAGATTTTTTTGATTGACAGGACGGGGTGCAGTCACTGTCCTTTTTGCCCTTGTCACACATGATGTTCATTACTAAAAAAAATTGGGATCGATTGTCAATATCGATATGAACCCTGGACTTTCTGCTGAGCAGATACATATCCATCTGCCCAGGGAATGAAAATCAGGAGGGAGGCTATGTTAGAAGCTTGTGTCCTGAAGCAAAGAAAATTCCAATACAAAAATGAGTTTTGTGCTGTAATATTTTGTTGGTGTAGATTTCTCTTAGATAAATTGTGTAGATTTACAGCAGTGTGAAATCAGAGCCTGCACTCCCTCATCAGCCACACTCATTACTGTCCTTCAGACACTCAGACACACACTTAGTACTAAACATAGCCATTGCTGCATAGCAAATATCCGATGAATGAATCCCTGGACAAATGCAATGTATATCCCAATAGTGTGTTAAAGATTATAGATCACAGCTGCTCAGGGTAGCAGGGAGCAGAATGTAAGCGTTTACTATATCACTGTACCTAACACATCAGGTATATGTGGCTCTGCTGGAGGTGTGGCCCAATGTGTTTTCTCTCTAATAAGCCACCACAACAAGAAAGTACAGACCACAAGTCAGCGTAAAATCAATACAATCTAACAGAGTTAAAGCATTTATTTGTAAACCAGTCTCCCAGCGAAAGACTGTGTGTGTGTGAGTATGTGAGTGCGCAAGCAAGTGAGTGCGCAAGCGTGTGTGCGAGCGTGCGTGTGCAAGCGCGTGTGTGTGCGTGAGTGAGTGTGTGTCTGTGTGTTCTGTTTTGGAACAGTAGAAACTGAGTTCCTTGTGACGAGAGAGACATATTATCTGAAATGCACATAGGTATAAAGAGACAGACTGTTTGAAACACATTTTATCCTAATCTGGGCTAACTAGTTTTATTAAGGTAAACTTAGTTAGCCCAGCTGGCCTATCCACCCCTCCATAACCCGTAAATGTTACGTTTCTGGAAAGGAAGCACAAAAATATTGCTTATGCGATGTCAATGACATATTGCATTGCATTAAATATTCAATATCCTTTTTCCCCCCAGGCCATGGGATCTGTGATTGTGGTGAATGTGATTGTGACCCCGGCTGGACCAGTGAATACTGTAATTGCACGACAAACATGGAACCATGTGTGGCAACAGATGGCACGCTGTGTAGCAGGCGTGGGGAATGTATCTGTGGCAAGTGTGCGTGTACACATCCAGGGGCTTCGGGTGAGACGTGTGAAAAGTGCCCCACTTGTGGTGACCCCTGTACCTCTAAACGGTAATCTTCTCAATTAATATAATCCTTGTGTTTGATATAGCACCTTATCATGTCACCCACATGACTCAAGCGCTTCACATAATATAGTGTAAGGTGTAGTGACTGTGTATTTTGTGGGTGAAACGCAGCAGCCAATTGCGCACAGCAGTGTCCCACAGACACTTGTGGATTGACCAATTTTTTTCTTGTGGGATCATCACCTCTGGAAAGTCATCCGCTAATCGACTAACAACTGAGTTCCTACTTACTGTAAGTAGGAGTAAGGAAACTTGCCCAACGTTTTACCCTGCTGGGAATGAAACCCATGTTTCTCGCTTGCGAGGCGAGTGCTCTAACCACTGAGCTACAGGACTCCACAATACAATGAAATACATGTAATATATACACGTATTAACATTCACTCATTATTTACTGATAGTATCCTCTGATCTGACAAATGGTGAGTGAAACTCTTGAAAGACAAACAGGAATAACCTACTCTAAGGGTCAAATGAGGTTCAAAATATGGGTTTACATCCTAACAATCCATAATAACGATGGGCTAAATCTGAAAGAATGGTTTCTTAAACAAGTGCATTGCAGTATATTCAAGACGTAAAACAAACAGTTAGGCTTAGGATTGAAAGGTCCATGTAAAAGAATGTCAAATTATTAATGAATTGAAATAGATTGGAGATAGATCATATACTTAAACATCTTGCATGTCATCAGTCATATAAAATTAGTTCCAGTGCTCCTAACGTGCTACATCAAGGTTAATTGAATCCTTTAATTTTAATTCTGCATCTACATAGGAGGATGATTGAATTCTTTACCTTCTCCTCCCAAGTGACCTTCCTTCGGTGCACATTTCACAATCAGACGGATTAAAGCAATGTCAGAGATTCAGTGATACAGCAGCTCCAATAGTGGCAAGTGAGAGGACCCAGGTTTGATTCCCTGTCGGGGCAAAACGTTAGGCGAGTCTCCTTACCCCACACACCTCTGTTTACCTGGTAGTAAGTAGGAACCTGGTTGTTAGCCCATTGGTGGATCACTTTGCTAGGAGGTAATAATTCCTTCAAAGAAAAATAATAATTCGATCACTCAATCCACGACTGTTTGTGGGATACTGCTGTGTGCAATTGGCTGCCACGTCTCACTCATAAAACACACACACAGTCACTACACTTTACAGTATATTCCGTGAAGCACTTTGAACTGTCTCGAAGATATGATAAGGCATTGATTGCAGATTTCTGGGAGGCATTGAAATTGGCTGTTTTTTCCAATAATATTAAAGAGCATCATGATCAGCTCTTTAGTATGATTGAAAAACATTGTGTGGAAGATTCCTGGGCTGCCTGAACTCTTTGCACATATAAAAAAGTGAGCGAGTGAGCGAGCAATCTTAGTGCTCCCCCACCTCACTCACTCACTCACTCACTCACTCACTCACTCACTCATTCACTCACTCACTCACTCACTCACTCACTCACTCACACAGATTCACACTCACACAGATACACACACTCACTCACAAAGATACACAGCTGTGCCACATGTTTTCTTGAAGTCACGTCCTCCAGGTGAGTTGCTGCCAGACAGACAGTATAACACAACAAAGATCAGTTCATGTAGCTACACTCTCAGTCAGAGAGGATAGTGTGGGCCACAGGGACTGAAGGGAATACAGCGAGCAAACTGCTTTATTCGCAGTGCAATACCTTTTGTGAAACCAATCATTTATATGTTTTTACAAAAATCTTAAATGATTGCTTAGTTTTTTTTCAGATACCACTGAAAAAATAGGGTAGATTTGGACTGACCTCTGTGATTCAACACAACTCATGAACTTTAATTCTTATGTTTGTTCTTATATAGTTTGGGACACGACATGACAAGTGACTGCCAGGATGATGGAAAGCAAACTAGATGGACCTTGGTCATCTTTTGCCTAGCAAACTCTTATGTTCTTAAGTTAAGGTTCTTATGGCATGAGAAAGATTTAGTACTTCCCCGCCCTTCTCTGGAATGTCATTCATGCCTTTCTACCCTAAAGCATGTTTTTTTTCTAGAAAGAAAACATTTGGCAGAATTTTATCTCGTGAATAATTTATCATTCAATTGATTGTCATAAAGAGGGCAATATACATGCTTTAAAACAACCTCCCATTAATATCATGTAATCCAAAATGCTTTCTTTAAAACATGACTAAAGCTTTCTTATCTGTAAAGTAAGCACTCAAGGTGCCTTCCTGTCTTTTTTTAATAATACTTGTCATGATTCATTTGAGAGAAACCCTTCACAATAATATTTTTATAATTATAATTTACCCACAAAGTATCAAATGAACAAATTTGAGCCTGAAATAATCCCCACAGGCGTTTTATATAATTGAATACCTCTGACATTGTGCGAAACACAGGAGTCCTTGAAACACTGAAAAACACATATATATATTTTAATCATAATGACAAAAGGCTGACAGTTATTGATGTGTGTTATTGCTCTATAGGAGCTGTGTTGAATGTTACTTTTCTGGTATGAACGAATCTACAGAATGCAATGAAAAGTGCAGAGAAATCGACGCCACTGTCAATCAGACCTCAGGTAATTCAATCCTAAAACTGGTTTGAAAAGCATTTTTAAAAATGGTGTGTATCTGTGAGATGAGAAATTAAGTCAAAATGCTGGAGATGTACTGTACACAAATCCAGGGTGAAGAAGATATGGTTTTATTTCAAGTGAACTGCATACAGTATTTGATTTTTTTCTCAATATTTATAGCTCATATATCCAAGGGTTGGTGCCAACTTCCGCACCTCCAAATGGTGCAGACACCATCAATCACCAGGGAGATGTGCCCAGGGGCTGATGCATTTGTGTATCTTATGCCGAGGAGCACCTTACAAGAAGTTGCTTACAAGGAGTTCCTGGTACCTGCTCTCCACCTAACAAAGCCCTAAACCAATGCTGCTCAGGTAGCTAATGTGACCCACACGTAGGGGCTGAGTTAGCTCGACAGGCACCTGCACAGAACCACGACAACAAACTCTATGTAGCAAAAGGTAGAGGAAAAACTGTACAGGTTGAAGGTGTCTGGCACTGGTGCCCTGTGCTCTAACCCCAGTACACATTGTCTGGACTCCATCTGAGTCACAGTATGGAATGTGTATGGTCCTGTGTCTCTGCCTTCACTTGGGCTCTCATCTCATTTGCTTTACTTCTCGCACTTGAAACATTGTCCCGACATGAAAGATGCTTCATGGATGTAAATTGTTTTCGCTTTAATTTCTCATTTCCCTTCTGATAAATAGTTTGGGACAAGACAAGCGACTGACAGGATTTCGCCCACAAAATATACAGTCAATTTACTGTACAGTATATTGTGTGAAGCGCTTTGAGACGTCTCAACAACGTGATAAGGCACGATATGAAATGCAAAGGTTATTATTATTCATAAGAGGAATGGGATGGACCTTGGTCTTCTGTCACCCAGAATTTTAAAAAATTCTTATGTTCTTGGTGTGCAACATCTCATTTGCCGAATTGTTTTGAGACAGTATGTGTCGGCACTATATAAATGTAAGTCATTATTGATGCTGCTGTTCTCCTTTCAGACTGCCAGAAGTGCAAATCGGTTTACTGTGCTCTGAAAATTGAGAATGATTGCACAATGTCTTTCCAGTTTTTGGAAGATGAACATGGACGCTCATTTCTTTATGACCTAAAACAAACAGGTGAATTTAGAAAATAAATCATTGCGTTAAAAAAATTGCAAATATTTTCATGAATAGAAGAATTGATTGTAATTGATTATTAAGTGGGACAGTATCTCATATTTGAACTTCAGTAACATTTGTCATCCATTTACTTTTCATTTTTATTTTATAGATTTTTATGCTTCCTATTTGATCTTAATTTCGACAAACATTACGTTGAAAATTGCTCTGCTCCAGTTAATATCCTGAGTGTTCTCTGATATTCACCTACATCAGGAAAGTTTGTAGCTAAAAATGAAATATTACTCTTGTAATATTCCACAGTTTTGTCTCCTCGATTCCGATGCTGAAATCTCCTGAGTTTGGTGAAAAATGAAAGCACGCAGAACCCATCTATGCTGTTCCCTTGTCAGCTTGGCTAGCAGGCATGTTTACGTAACATAAAAAAAGATCTTCCCTTCCCTCTCAGATTGCTATTCTGCTTATTGCTATTTTGGCACAAGCCCACAATAAGCTTTCTCAGCCCCTTTGAATTCCTAAGCTAATAAAGTCACCCACCTAGTGTTGTAAACTTCCCCCAGAGGAAGCCAAAATAATACCAGCTGACCCTACTGAAACCCTACTATGGACCAGTTCAATGATTATTGTTTCTTTTATGGATTACAATATTTAGTTGGTATTTGAGGCAGTTCTCAATGCTACAATATTGAACTCCCAACCACAATTGTCATTAGTTTAAATTTTGTCTAGGGTGAGATTCATACGTACTTGCTCTCCTCAGGGAAGTTCTGAGCTGAGTTGCACCACTAGATGGAATACCTGCAGAGAAAGCTAGAGCAGGAGGAATCCCAACACACTGTTAAACAACTTTGAGATTTGGTCACAAGTTTCATTGACGTTGGGTGTGGAGAATAGCACTATACAGCCAAGTGGAACTCACTCCTCCATTCAACATGTCAGGAAGTGGGAGGCAATAAAGGCTTAACAAGACAAGAAAACCCAACAGGATAAGATATCATTCAATTGATATTTAAAAGCAAACGTAGTGATGATAGGTTTTTTGTTTTTTTACAGTAAATGTTTTAATCACAAAATATACAGTCAATTCACTTTACAGTATATTCTGTGAAGCACTTTGAAATTTATGGAAGACATGATAAAACGCTATCATGTCGTGATGCAGACTAGGTTAAATGCAAAGATTATTATTATTAAACACAATTTGGACATTGCTTTCTGGTTCGCGTATTTTTCTTAAGCTTTGTGCAATTTATACTCAACTCTTTCTGAAATGCGAGATTTTCTGTACTTGTGAAAGGTAGTAACTTAAACATGTTTATTAGCCGACAGAGAATGAGTAAGTGAGTCAGTGAGTGAGAACTGCTTTCATCTATCAAAGATTAAAATACTGAAGTGTTTCCTGATACAGGATGTCCATTGCCTCCGAACATTGCAATGATTGTGCTGGGAGTTTCTCTGGCAATCCTGGTGGTTGGTTTAGTTATCCTCAGTATCTGGAAGATGCTAATATCCATTCACGACCGCAAAGAAGTGGCCAAGTTTGAATCGGAGCGAGCCAAAGCCAAATGGGAAACTGTAAGTCTCCAGATGTCAACATGTGGTGTATTGTAATTCTCTACAGTTTAACCTAGTCTGCATCACTGTTGTATATCCACAATCAAACCCAAAGGGACTGTTCTCACATTAGCACCATTCATTGTGTGTTAGTTTGAAAAGACCTGACATTATAGGACATGGTTAAGTTAACTTGATTTTATTCAGTAATCAGGTTACATCAATTCTCAGTTTATATGTGCACTGAATGTTCTGAAGCCAAAGTTATGTGGAACCATTTCATTCATACTATGACGAACATGTGGATTGCTGTCACTTCAGCAGTCCTGTAGCTCAGTGGTTAGAGCACTCGCTTTCCTGGCAGAGTGAAACCTTGGGCAAGTTGCTGATACCTGATAATAATCCCTCAAAAAAAAAACAATAATAAATTGGTCACTTCAATCCACGACTGTTTGTGGGACACTTCTGTGTGCAATTGGCTGCGGCATTTCGCCCACAAATATACAGTCAATTCACTTTTATAGTCTATTCTGTGAAGCTTTGAGACGTCGAAAAGACATGAAAAGCTCTATATCAAATGCAAGGATTATTATTATTATTCATTACAGATAAACTAAACTTATAATGTGCTTCTCGATTCTACTTAATGTGAGAACTGGCACCTACCAACTCAGAATTGCTATATAAAAATATGTAAAATAGTCAGATTGATATGTTTTAAATGACTATTTTATGGTAATATATTTTAGAAATTAAGATGATGTATTGTATATACAGCACAGGAGAGCAATCAAAACATAAATACTAGTGTTAATTTGACAAAAGTATTTGCAATGAATCATAGATCCTTTTTTTTGGCCTGGAGTCATTACTGCTCCATTAATGTGGCTGCATTTCTGGAATGTGTAACAAACCTACTGTGGAAAATGATAGAGTTCAGATAAAAGATGGTGTAACATGCTTTCCAATTATCTCCCTGATATTGAATCCTTGTGTTTTTCAGGGTACAAATCCACTTTACAAAGGTTCGACTTCCACGTTCAAAAATGTGACTTACGGAAAGCAAAAGGACTCAATTACTGTTGGAAACTAATGTGCTACTTAACTTATTGGAAAATTGAAAGTTTCTTGTAACTGGCCCTAATGCACTTTTGTTTGTGTTTGTCTGGAGTAGCTGTGTTGTTGTGGAAACACATTGTACATATTTTGAACTATATTATATTCGGTAAAACTCATCAGTCTGAACTGTATACATCGTATAATCACCCAAGTTGTTCATCTGCCCAAATCCCATTCAAGCATTTATGTTCTATGCAAGTTTAACATAACTCATATTTGGCATTAGTCATATTAAATGTCTGATACGACTTATGTGAGGTTTTACTGCACATTGGATGTGGCTATAAAAAGCATCAAAGAGTGTAGGTTTTGAGGCAGCAATTTATAGGAAACTAAACAGTTCTAGTAAATAACACTAATTCAACTTCACCAACTATTTTTGACAAACTTTTTCTATTATTGTGGCTTGAATTCAACAAAGGATTCTTGTGTTTTTTTTGTAGAGAAATTGTTTTGTACTTTCATGGTTAGAAATATTCAACTCTGAAGTGCCAGCCATAAGGTTATACTGACTGCACATTCCCATGTTAAAAATTGGAATAGCGCTTATAGATACACTTCATTACGCAATGTTCTATTGTTCTCTATACTTTTGTGTTTCAGTCCACAATGTGAAACAACAACATTTCCAAATTTCCATTTCAAATCATATCAAACAAATTTGATACATTTACACATGTGGCAGCTAACGAACAGCACTGTGACTAAATGTCAGGATGTTCATTATTAATAACTAATTTATTTAATGTCCCGCTACATGATAATTGACTAATTAACAGAATGGAAACCATAAAAGACCTTATGGTTAGAGGCCACAACTAAACATCCAATTGAGACATTTTCAATTGAAAGTTTCAATGAGTGGAAAGTTTAACATTTCATTTGTACCATCCAGTCTTGGCATCTATATTTTCAATAACTTTTAGAAATGTTTATTGTTTGAATTCTGCAATAACACAGACTAGTCTTGTGCTGTATTGAAAGTAAGATGTGATACAGTTGAATACAATTATTCAGCCAAGTGATACAGTCCATGTACTTGACTTGAGGACAGACATAAAAACAAAATTCCACCTTCAAAAACAAACGAAGACTTGGATACACAGTCTCCCAAGTATCAAGACATTCATCTTCCTGAACTGCATTCCTTTGTTCTTCACAATGATTTGTTGAGTTATTATTTCACTTAATTGAAAATTGCTGTACATTTTTGAATATAAATGTTTAAATAATTTTCCTTTTTTTCCCTGAATGTATCTTTGTCAATTACTTTCTCGTGCATCACTGGTTAATGCAGGCTTCTTTCTCCATCAAAAGGCTGGATCTTAAGAATATTACTGTATTAGTCACCTTCACAGAGTTGTAGAGAAATATCGCTTTTTTTGTAGATAAACATTTTGGACCAGATTCTGTTCTTGTGATGTTGTATTACAGTTGGCAAAATGTAATCCACAAATATTTTTATGTGTTTTTTTGTTTCATAACATACTACAAAGTTGAAAATCTCTTCAAAAGAGAAAATTAGAAGGGAACTTGATAAAAGTACTTTGATGGTTATAAGATTGTCGTCATGTCCCATTTTAACCCACAGTTCACTGTGGTCAATTGTGTTACTGAGCCAGAAGATGATATTTGGTGTTGCTGAGCTAGAAGCATGAAATTTGGTCACTCTGGGTTTAGCAGTGTGTGTGATGAAATGTATGACAATCATTTTAAAAAAAGACTTTCTCTGTAATTCTGTGGGTTGTCTGTTTCTCTATTGGTTACAGACACACAAGTTACAGCAGGGACTGCATTCCAAACAACAGAAAATCCTAAAGTCTCCAGCTTTGTTTAACATAATAATCCTTGCATTTAATATAGCGCCTCATCACGTCTTCGAGACATCTCAAAGCCCTTCACAGAATATACTGTAAAGTGTAGCAACTGCATATTTTTTGGGTGAAATGCAGCAGCCAATTCTGCACAACAGTGTCCCACAAACTGTCTTTGTGATTCCTGCGCAGGAATTGAACCCAGGTCCTCTCGCTTGCGAGGCGAGTGCTCTCACCACTGAGCTACAGGACTCCACTATTGCTTGGGTTTGTTGTTTAGGTGTCGCTGTCCAAGACTTGAAAAACTTTTCTTTCATTAACTGCAATAGTAACAGAACTCCAATGTGTGATTTGGGCTGTGAGGATTTCTTGTATTTGTAAACATGTTTATGAATCTTATGTCACTGTCGGGCCAGGACCTCAACTCATCCAATTGGTGGTGGTGGTGGTTGTTGTCGTCCTGTGATTGTGCTCTGAGGAGTAAAGCTGCTTCACTGTATGATGATGTGCAATGGGAAACTGGATTTAATGCCCGCTCTATGTTACTTTTAATCAGGCCAAGAAAAAAAAACAATCTGGTATTTAATGGGTGCTTTGGAGGCCATTAATTCTGCTTAATTGGCACCAATCACTGCCAAAATCACACTAATGTGCAGCCAAATGAGCTGCATAAACACATCATTAATGTCTGCCCAGACATTAATGTTGGCAGGCCATGTCACCATCAGAGGCAGCACAGCCAAGATTGATCTGTGCCTGACATTCACTCACACTATTTAGTGTGGGATCATTGGGTAGGAACAACAACAGCAAGTTGCATTTATATTGTGCCCTGCACACGCAGTAGTGTCCCCGAGGAACAACAACAGCAGCAGCAGATATCTCTTCCATCCCCCCCCCCCACCCCCGTTCAAGAACAATCGTCTCCCCAAACACCTCTCCTGTCCGAGCTCAGATTGAATTTAGGACCCTCCGAGGCTGAAGGGTTGGTTGTGTTTCACACAGTTCAGTGACTGATCAGTTTTAATGCAGGTAAAACAATGGGTAAAATGAATTGAGCTTTGATCCTCATTAGTAACAAGTTATTTGTGCTGATATGATGCTTCTGTGATTTTTAAACAGTGATTCGTGAAGGTGCAAGGTCATTGGTCAAATGAAAATAATATTTTCAGATATAAATGTTGGCAGAGTTTGTGAACCAATAAGCTGATCTTGAAGATCTGTATTCTTTAGTGTTTGGCTGTTCTTTAAAGATGAAGATCAAGTTTGAGTGTTTGGTGGGAAAAACAAAATAGACCCAACTGTTCGGGGGCTACACAAGTAGATATTGAAGCTAAAGACAATGTTTGCAAATAAAATATTTTCCCACATTTCTGTTAAAATGAGCATTTTCTATGTGATGCCAGATATCTGTTGCTCACATCTCTCACATCTTTTATCAATATTGAGAAACATGATCTGTACTGAAGGATGTTTTTATTTATGATAAAAGAGGACTGATCTGTGATGCTGCATACTTTAAACAGGAATGGGTTGAGCACAGTGCCATCCAATTGCTGTATGGAGCAATTGCATAGGCATCTGCACTTCACTAGGGACTGGACAAACAAACATTGGCATTCCTCAGCCTCAGTGAGCTGTGTGACATGGGCAGGCGATCTGGGCTATAAGCGAAGGGTCAGGCCAGTTAGAGAGATATGGGTGGTCTTGCAGCTGGTGTAGATTTGCACAGAACATCAAGAAGGCATAGCGAGCGAAACAGTCTGAGCTGATACACTGTGATCAGCAGCAGTGTGTTGCTCTGTCAGTGCTGAGCAAAGGGAGAGCAAAATTCTCAACTCTGGATGAGAGTCAACTTTCCAAATTCTTTTCTAACTCCAGATGGCAAACGTTTTGAATTGCTTAACAGTTTCCTCCACAGTTTGTATAGGATCCAAAATCAGACTGCCTCCCCATAGCTTTGGAAAACAGGACAATGTAAATACTGTACCTCCCTGCACACGGGCTTTGATGATAAACGGCATTAAACCCAAAGTTATAGTTATTGAGTGAATGGAGGAACCAGCTGCAGTCCTCTGGATGGTGTAACCAATACACATCCTGCTTACCTAATTCTGGAGAGTATTAGGCGCAGATTGGCAATAGCCAAGGCTTGGGGGGGCCCAGAGTGTGTGTTGGGGTAACTGCTGGAGTCTAACCAGCTAAATCCACACAGCTTGCCATTGATATCACAGTCTGGCTAGCTTTCCCGCTGCTTGTCCAGCTTGGACCACCCTCCCCATTAGGGTTTTCGCGGCAGGGTTAACAGGAGCTGAGGGGGAGGATTCCCTGCCCCCAGTGACTGGTCGGACCTTCCATGTCCTGCTGATGAGCCGGGCCGGGCTGGACTGTGCTGTCAGCAGTGAGAGCAGTGACGAGCTGGGCTAAGAACAGGAAGAGTAAGGACTGAGCTCCCTGTTACATCTGGTGTTGGGCTGTTCATTTGCTGTTTCTCTGATAGAAAAGCGTCTCAGCTTCACACTCACACACACACTCACACACGGGGATGGCTGGGTCGGCTGTGTGTGTGTGGCTGTGGCTGTGCTGGGCTGGTGTGAGGCTGACCTGGGGGGACCGACACAGCACCAGCTCCAACGTAGGAAGGAGCGAGTTACCCAACTTACTGGGTAAGTGGAACCAGACAGACTGGAACAGCAAAGCCTTGTTGTGTTGTGTGTTGTGCTCTGTATAGCAAGTAACGGTACTCAGAGCCGACATTGTGAGAGCATTGCTGGCAAAGCTCTTAGTTATTTAAGGGAATAGTTAAATGCATAAGAATATTTTAGTGTGAGATGAACTTTCTCATAAAGTAGCAAATTGGAAAATAATTCACAAACTACGCAATGATTAATAAGGTTACATGTATGTCTATAAGAAAAAATAAGTTTATTTTATCTATTGTAAAACAAACCTTAAATGTTTCTCCAAAACTTTTTTTTATGGCTTTGGTTAGTTGAATATGAAAACTCGACAAAACAACAAAAGTTACTTTAATTTTATGAATTAACGTTAGCAAAATAATTAATTGCGAATTGTTTTCCCTTCATTTTTCTTTTTTTCAATAATCTTTGCTGTGATCTCTCGTCACAAAGTACATTTTGACTCAAGTGTTTGTCTGTTATAACAAAATGAACAGTTGTATGTGTGTCTGTGTGTGTGGGGGTATATGTTTGTGTGTGTGTGTGGGGGGGTACATGTTTGTAAATGTGTGTGTGTGGGGGGTATATATGTATGTGTGTGTGTGGGGGTATATATATATGTGTGTGTGGGGGGGGTATATGTTTGTATGTGTGTGTGTGGGGGCGTATATGTTTGTATGTGTGTGGGGGGTATATGTTTGTATGTGTGTGTGTGGGGGGGTATATGTTTGTATGTGTGTGGGGGGGTATATGTTTGTATGTGTGTGGGGGGGTATAAGTTTGTGTGTGTGTGTGGGGGCGTATATGTTTGTATGTGTGTGTGTGGGGGGGTATATGTTTGTATGTGTGTGGAGGGGTATATGTTTGTGTGTGTGTGTGTGGGGGGGTATATGTGTGTGTGTGTGGGGGGGTATATATGTGTGTGTGTGTGGGTATATATGTGTGTGTGTGTGTGTGGGGGGGTATATGTGTGTGGGGGGGGGTATTGTTGCTCCGCAGTTTAGCGAATGCAAATTAGACTGAATGCCCTTTTGGTGTGTAATACAGTGACGAACAATACTCTTGGGAAGTGGGAATACTTTGCCACCCATCGGAATGACATTCCTGTGTCCACTTTTGTTTAAAAAAATCGTTTAACATCGATTTTAATTTATTTTTCATGTCCCCCCGTCACCCCCCGCCCCCTCCCCTCCTCTCAGGGACCACACCCCACTATTCCAGCGCAGAAGAAGCTTTAAACTCCAACTGAAATGTTTGCTGATTTCTCTCTGATATCCAGGACGCAGTTGGTTTTGCCGTCTGTGTGTTGAACAGTATGTAATGTGTGAAGCTGTTGGTGATTGCACAGCTCAGTGCCACAGTATCTGCTCATTTACCTACTGTAACCTCAGGCCTGTGGGGGGGGGGCAGCATAAAGTGTGCACCACCATATGATTAAGTGCCTCTTAGAGTTGGCTTACATCTCTCCCAACTAACCATTACTAATCCACATTAATACCTTACTTATCCTTGTTACTGACTGACTTTAGTTTGCAAAGCAGACTCTCACTCGGTGCTTTATTACTGTCTCTTGGAAATCTAGCACACTGCGTTATATCGCTTTCCACTGCCGTTGTGTACCAGCTCTAGAATATCCGTTTGATTGCTTCAGTTAATTGAACGTTGTCTTCATATGCTTTAGAATAATCCTTGCATTTTTATACAGCGCCTTATTGCGCCGTTGAGATGTCTCAAAGCGCTTCACAGAATGTACTGTGAAGTGTAATGACTGCATTTTGTAATCTTAATTGATTAATGTTTTTAATGGCAGGTTCCAGATTAAACTGAATGAAAACACCCTCCCGATGTGAAAGGCACATGTAATTTGTTGTTGTTATGTTGCGAATATGAGTAAATAATATGGGTCCTTCTGCCTCGTTTCTGGCACAGATGATAAATACTGACTAAACAAGTCTCTCCACTAAATTGATCTTCATATTAATACCATGTTGCATTGAATCAAGAAATTGTTGTTCCTTAACAAAACCAAATGATGTTCGCTCAATTCTAGATGCCATCTATGGGTTGGCCATTGTCACAGTAAAGTTCTGGCTTTGAAAGATGAAAGTAATTCTGAATATTGTACAGTTCTCTGAGTTCCAGGAAGATTGCTTTGTGAATATGATGACAAGTGCGGTGTTGTATTAAGACAAGATCGAGCTATGATTGTGTAGCTGGAATTGGGAATTCTTGAAATGTTCAATTTAGTGTGTGAATGCTCCCCTGTGTTGCCACATGGTTTTTGCCAACAAAAATATTTTTGAATGGGTCTGAGTAATAAAAGGAACAGAAACCTTTCCTGAGAAGATTATAAGATGCTCTCAATTACCAAAAGCAGTTTTACACATGCAGATCGTGTTTGTTTTTCCTGCAGATAAAGGGATGTTTATTCTGCAGAGTGAGCATCTCAGTAAATGTATCAATGTGGTCAACCTGAAGCTCGGTCTTGAAGAATGTAACCAGCGGTCAGACAGCATGCTGTGGAAATGGGTCTCCAAACATCGTCTCTTCCATGTAAACAGCAGCATGTGTCTTGGACTTAATATCATTAATCATCAGCAGCCTCTCAAGCTGTTTCAGTGTGATTCCCCAGTAGGGGTGTTGTGGTGGAGATGCAATGGGAAAGTATTGATTGGTGCAACTCAATACAAACTGTCTGTTGGCCAAGGAGAGCGTATTGTGGCAGACAGGATTGTGTATGACAGATGGAAGTTATACCTGACACAAGATAAAGGACCATGTGAACACACCTACCAAGGTACGTAAATCCTAAAACAACACCATTCACATCGTGCAAAACTGCTTGGAAATGATGGGCTTCTCAAACCTCAGATTCAACTTCCAAATGATTAGAGTTGTTAATAGTTGTTATTTAAAAAACTTTTTTTAATATAACAAACACATAAAAATGAAATTAGAAAACGACATTTCTTGAATTTTTTAAACAAGTTTCTTCAAAAATAGTTTTGCCACCTTTTCCAATTACAGATCACGAGTACTTTACTCATTACTTTATTCCCTCCCACACTATTCTATTCCTCTCTCCCTCATGTGAAGATCTAGCTTCCTCCTGAATGCATCTGCACGCTCTGATTAAACACCACTTCAGGCAGCGAGTTCCACAATCTCACTACCCTCTGTGTAAAATAGTTCCTCCTAAATTCTCTTTTAGATCCCCAGTTGCTATCTTATATCTGCGTCCCCTGGTTACACAAGTGTAAGGTAATGACTCGGGGATCAAACCTGTTCTTAAATTCATAAATAGCTTAAAGAACAAAAGCAAATTGTATTTGCCTGCAAGGTTCTGTTGATGGGCTTAGTTGAGGAAGGGCAGGAGGAGGCTCATGTGGAGCATAAACACCGGCAAAGACCAGTTGGGCTGAATGGCCTGTTTGTGTGCTGATTATTCTATGTCATTGTATCTGGTTCAGTGAAGGAACTATGTTAATCCGCTATTCCTCCTATTCTCTCAGTAAAACACAAATCTCTAGTGCTAAAAGTAAACAATGTTGATATAAAATTTCTCGATCTTGTATTTTTTCAGAAATTCACACAGTGCTTGGGAACTCCCGTGGGCTGCCTTGTGCTTTGCCGTTTAAATACAACAATCAATGGTACCATGAGTGCACCAGTGAAGGCAGAGAGGACAGCCTGCTCTGGTGTGCAACTGCCACCAATTATGATCGTGAACAAAAATGGGGGTTTTGCCCCAATTCAGGTAAGCCATGAAATATTTTTGCAAAGTTATTTTGCAGCAGCAAATTTCCAACTTTGTACATTTTGACCACCTTATTTATCATTGTTTTGTTTCTTTCTTGTTGCAGATCCAGGCTGTGAATTTGTGTGGGAGAAGAATCCCATTTCACAAACTTGCTACCAGTTTAATTCCCTATCTCTTCTCTCTTGGAATGAGGCCCATGATTCATGTCAAGCACAAGGAGGGGATTTGCTAAGCATTAGTGATCTTACAGAACAGACGTATCTCAGTGGTGAGTTAGTAAACGCTTTAGCGAGTTGCAAACTATGCTTTGGCTCCTCATTTACAAAAAAAAACTATTCAGCTATATTTATGCCACAACTTGAGCCAATATTGTCAGCTGTTATCCATCTACAATTAATTGTATGAAGGTTATAATTGTTTGTTTCATGAAAAAAAGAATGCTTGGTCGATTGCTTTGGTCATGCATAAACTTGTAAATACTTATTTTTTGACCTTACATTTAGGCCAAATCTGCTTTAGTTTTGAGAAAATTATGTAATCTTTAATAAAGTTTATATAAATATATTAGCAAAAATGTTTTGTTTCAAAATCTTGTATCTTTGTGGTTCCAGCTGTTATAGCAGTGTAAAACCCTGGAAGTGTTTTCTGAATGGCATAAATCAACAGATTTGGGACGTTAATTTGTTGTTGTTGGTGGTGGTTTAGCTTCTTTCATGTTTAACCTTGATGTGAGATGTGAACTTTCAAAGGAAGTTGTATTGAAAATTAAGTTTCTCTAATAAATGGTCTCGCCAGCGATTGCTTCAGCTGTAACCCTTTGTTGCAGATCGTTTACAGAATACCATGATTCTGGCGTGGATAGGACTCAATCAATTGGATGAACTTGCTGGGTGGCAGTGGTCAGATGGAGAACACTTGAGCTTTGTAAATTGGGATATAGGTATGTAATGTTTCCACGCAATTGGCTGCCACGTTCGCCCACAAATATACAGTCAATTCACTTTACAGTGTGTTCTGTGAAGCGCTTTGGGACGTCCTCCCGACGTGAAAAGCGCTATATCAAATGCAAGGATTATTATTATTATTATTATTATTAATGTTTCCACGCAATTGGCTGCCACGTTTCGCCCACAAAATATACAGTCAATTCACTTTACAGTATATTCTGTGAAGCGCTTTAAGATGTCTCAGTGACATGATAAGGTGCCATGTCAAATGCAAGGATTATTACTGTTTATTATTATCTTTGAATGAACATTCTCTTCTCTCAATTTGTGTTTCAGTTGCGTACACTTGATTGACATGTAGGAGTACAAAGGTGGATTATTTAAAAATATGTTCAGATGTCTACTGCTTGAAGTAAAAGTGGAGAATAATCCTAATTGTCTCTGTTTTACTACTGTGTATTACAGATCAACCTCAGGGCTCAGTGCTTGGAAATTATCACTGTGGGATCCTCAGTTCTAAATTTGATAGCCGTTGGCGTAGTTTCAAATGTGAGACAGCTCTGCCGTACATCTGTAAGAAAACCATCAACTCGACAAGAAAAGTGGAACCTTTCGGTAAGTTATTTGAATGAACATATTAATTTAATCTTAATAGACCATCAGGTGCTGGATGTAAAAACAAGGGATGTTAAGCAATAAAATGTCAGCTCAAAACAAAACAGTTGAGGCTTCGTAAGTTACATCAACAGTTGCTTCAAAAAATAATAATTGGGTCACTCAATCCACAATGTCTGTGGGATGCTGCTGTGCAATTGGCTGCTGCGTTTCGACCACAAAAATATACAGTCAATTAACTTTACAGTATATTCTGTAAAGCACTTTGGGATGTCTCGAAGATGTGTTAAGTCGCTGTATCAAATGCAAGAATTATTATTATAGGTTGATTATATCCTGCATCTTTTATTCTAAAACTCCATTGATTGATTGCAGGTTTGTACTTAAATTGGAGAATTGGAGATTTTCTATTGATTTTTTTTCTCTGGACTTGCCTTTGTTTACCTCACTCCTCAGGTCACTGAAACTCTTGTTCATGTCTTCATCACCTCCAGGCTCAACTATGCAAACGCTCTGCTTGTTGGCCTTCCCAACTCCTCCCTCCACAGGCTGACGATAATCCAGAACTCTGCAGCCGTGTCCTCTCCCACACCAAACTCCGTGACCCCATCTCCCCCACTCTCACCTCACTCCATTGGCTCCCTATCCTTCAGAGTATCCAGTTCAAGATCCTGGTCCTCACCTACAAAGCCCTCCATGGCCTCACCGCACCCTATCTCTGTGACCTCCTAACCCCCTACCAACCCGCCCGTTCCCTCCGCTCAGCTGGCTCTGGCTGCTCCACGTCCCCCACCCACCCACCCCATCATTGGCGGGAGAGCCTTCAGCTACTCTGCCCCCAATCTCTGGAACTCCATCCCCCAATCACTCCACTTCGCCCCCCCCTCCCCCCCCTTAGCCTCCTTCAAGTCCCGCCTCAAGACCCTCCTCTTTGACCATGCCACCGGCCACCTCCCCTCCCCTCCCTTCCCCCCCACTGACCCCAGCTCGGGTCTGAAATGCTGTCACTGTCCAACGCCTTGGGACGTCCTCCCGACATGAAAGGCGCTATACAAATGTAATCTTGTTGTTGTTGATGAATATTCTGTTGTATTTCTATCCTTGAGTGTTTAAGGTAATAGTGTAATAGTGGTTCTCAGACTATGTTACTGCCATGCAGATTGTAGAATACATTGGTTGCTCACAGTACTAATGTTCTGAATGACAGAATTCTGGCAGTACAGGCCTACGCAATGTGAATCTGGATGGTTTCCTCACAACGGCTTCTGCTACAAACTGTATAAAGAAGATTTAAGCTGGAAGAATGCTCTAACATCCTGTCGTTTAAATGGTAGTCAACTCATTAACATCCGTGCCCTAGCAGATGTGGCATTTCTCATCACCCAGTTTAGAAATGGTGAGTATTCATAAATGTTATAAAAATATGATATGTGGCATATATGGCGTATTATTTCATTGTTCTCTTATTTTTAATTAATAATCAGAAAGAAGCTATTTAATTTTCAAATGATCAATGTGTTTTCTGTGAGCAAAACTCGAAGGCGTTCAATGCAATTGAAAGCACATTTCTTTCCCTGGAAGTTTGACCACTTTGTTTATTTTCTCTGCTGGTTGGTGACATGTCTAATTGATTTTCCTCCCATCGAGCAGTATTTTGGCATCGCAGCAACCAACTGCTCACTCCACTGGAGACGTAAGTTGTGATTTTTTTTGAAAAAAACACATTTTTGCTAAATTGAGAACAGTCAGGAAAAACAGATATACTTAAGTGTTGGTGAACTGTATTTAAGAAATCTATGCACTGTTAGTTAAGTATTGTCCTCTCACTGCTGAGATCCTAGTTCAAATCCAGCCCAGATATATGGACTGAGTGTGACCTCTCACATTTTTGTGGATGAACCAAGATTTTGTTTCACTCCTCGTTCTCCTAATGGGAATAGTTGTTTAGAATTTGAATTCTCTGAATTCTTTCTGTGTTGGCATTGGAAGGATTAAATGTATGTTTATTGAATGATTTGCAACTTGATGTCCAGCCAGAGTGGTGGGGGGTGGAGTTTGTGCAGCGACTGAGCAATTCAAGTTGAACTAAATAGTTTAACCTTGGGACGTCCTCCTGATGTGAAAGGCGCTGTATAATAAATCAAATAGGGAAATCAGAAGAAACTTCTTTACCCAGAGAGTGGTGGGAATGTGGAACTTGCTGCCACAAAGAGTAGTTGAGGCTAATAGCATCGATGCATTTAAGGGGAAATTAGATAAGTACATGAGAGAGAAAGGAATAGAAGGTTCTGCTGATCGGCTTAGTTGAGGAAGGGCAGGAGGAGGCTTATGTGGAGAATAAATGACAGCATTGACCAGTTGGGCCGAATGGCCTGGTTCTGTGCTGTATATTCTATGTAATGTAACTTTGGATTGCAAATTCCAATTGTAAAAAATGTTGCCCTCCTAGTGACTTGTTTAGTGAGGGATCTTTTAACTCTGGACCGAATGATTGCTTGGACTTGGACATAGAAAACCTATGGTCAATCATCAGCTTCAGCATCTTGACAGTCATTCAGAGAATAGGGAAAAGGATGATAAAGGCACTGCCGTTTCAAGGTGAATGTTATTATTCTGACTCCCTGTGTTGTATTGAAGGAACATATTCTGTTTCTTTCAGAAACTGTAGCCGAGGTGTGGACAGGACTTGCCAATCCCAGAACCCCAGCTGTGTTTACATGGTCAGAAGGATCTCCGGTGACGTTCACTTACTGGCATAGGAATGAACCAAATGTTCCATTTAACACCACAAAACACTGTGTGTCATCAGTGAGAACTGTAAATACACTTACTAATCTTGAATGATTGTTTTGCTATCTACCCACAAACCATGCAAGTGCTGCTTAAGAGATAATAACCCTTCTGTTAGCCTAATAATCCATGCTGTTAAAACCTTTAGAAACCTCATTATTTTCAACACCTTACAGATACTTTTTAAAACCGAATATGTTTTTAAATTTGAAGACTCCTACTTTTTTCACACTTTAAATCCCCTTCAATTGATGATTTTAACAGCCATCTATTGTAATCACCAAATTGATCTTCATGGCAAAGTTATCACGGACAGTGTATATCAATTACAAAACTAACAACATGAACAAACAGGAGGAGTGTTGTCTCTTTAAGACCATTTACAAAGTTATGATTTGTTTTTAGAGGAACATTCAGCCAGGGTTCCCTCTCCTGATACCTTTAAGTGCCCAATGTTAGACAGTGATGGTGTGGTGAGAACAAGTTCAGTCTGGATGCTGATGTAGGTTTGGATAGCCGGCCAGCATTCACTTTCTGGGTTGAGGTATAAAGAATGACGAAACTGCCAGCAACTGTGCTGCTATTCTCAACAACAGTGAATACCTTCAGGCATGGCAAAAGGCCAACAAATTAGACTGAAAAAAATTCTCTAATCTGATCCCCCAAAATATTGCATCCTTTCAATCCTGTTCTTCCAGTTCATGTGAACTTTGTGGTGTTTTTACAAACTGGTATTGATTGATTTTTAGGTATCGGTTGATTTTTGATTGAAATGTTCCATGCTCTTAATATCATTGTAAATCTATTGTGCTCTTCAATTCTAACTGCAGTCAGGTGTACGCTCTAGGAATTAAATGCCGTTTGGGGGGTTTCCAGGCTCGACTATGCAAACGCCCTGCTTGTCGGCCTTCCCAACTCCTCCCTCCACGGGCTGCAGATAATCCAGAGCTCTGCAGCCCGTGTCCTTTCCCGTACCAAACTACATGACCCCATCTCCCCCATTCTTGCCCGACTCCATTGGCTCCCTATCCTGCAGAAGATCCAGTTCAAGATCCTGGTCCTCACCTACAAAGCCCTCCATGGCCTCGTCCCACCCTACCTCTACGACCTTCTAACCCCCTACCAACCCGCCCGCTCCCTCCGCTCAGCCGGCTCTGGCCTGCTCCACGTCCGACCCACCCATCCCACTATTGGCAGGAGAGCCTTCAGCCACTCTGCCCCCAACCTCTGGAACTCCATCCCCCAGTCACCACGCCTCGCCCCCTCCTTAGCCTCCTTCCCGCCTCAAGACCCTCCTCTTCGACCATGCCATCGGTCATCCCACTTCCCCTCACATCTCCCCCCTGATCCCAGCTCGGGTCTGAAATGCTGTCACTGTCCAGTACCTTGGGACGTCCTTCCAATGTGAAAGGCGCTATACAAATGTAATCTTGTTGTTGTTGTTTCTAATTTTAACTTGAAGCCAGTGCTGTAAATTCATGAAGCAACTAGTTATTCTTTGGAGTCAAATAATAAATATCAAGGATACAGTTGTAAAACATCTGGACTAATGCTGGTTAGTAAAGGCTGTGCAGCAAATGTGCTGCTCTTCAACAGTCAGCACAGAGGGCTATATAACAGTGTTGTTCTTGCTTTGTAGGTGTATAATATAGTAAATTAAATGCTTTACATTCATCTGTGATAATACGGCATAGTCTGTTCTCAAAGTTCAGTCATATTGCAAAGCTTTTCAATTGTTTTAGGTTTACGTTTATTCGTGAATCTCATCTTACAGCCTCTATATTTTAAACTATAAGATTGCTATCATTTAAAAAACTGTTTTGTACCATTATTCAACCACAGAGGATGACAGATCCAGTGAGGTCTGTACACTTAGGTGTTCACAACATAGAAGTTCAGAAATATTTTAAAAACTTTGGAGCTGCTATATTTAATCCATTATCAAAAGATAATTATGTTTTTTTAATTGAAAGAACGGTCAATGGAAAGTTACAGATTGTGAAGAAAAGCTGAATTACATCTGCAAGAAGCCAGGAGAGGTGGAGGAAGGACAACTCAGGAACGATAAAGGCTGCCCTCAGGTGAGACATATCCAATCCATGTTATTCGACAGTTGATGGGATGTGGTATTGAGATGTGACAATTATCACAAGGGCACAACTGCAGTCATTGTATGTGCTTTATCAACCTGTCCCAATGAGATGTTTGGGAACCACACAACCCACTGACCCAAAGAGATTGGCTTCTCTCTCCCATCAGGTCAGAGTTCAATGTGATATTCATATTTTTATAAGTTAGCAAGATCATTAAAATCATTATTCCTGGCCGAGTTCAGCCTTTTAACTTTTAATCTTAAATGATAACTTGAATTGCAAAGCAGGATACGTTGCAGCAGGATTGAATCACTGCTCCCACAAGTTGAGAACTATTTCAGCCCATCGATCTTCATTGTGGAGATCAGCATGAATCTGTTCGCTATTCTCTTCAGACGTTTGAGATTTACCAACAAACTCCATATGTATCTGTTTGACATTGTACACTGTGAGTCTAAGCACTTACATATATTTCAGGAGTGGAAACGATTTGGAGAATTCTGCTACACTATTGATAGTCAATTACAAAGTTATGAAGATGCTTCGAAAGGATATTCTTGTTCATTGGTGACCATTTTGGACAGGTAAACAATCATTCTTAGACAAACTGTTTAGGGAGGAGTAGGTTACATCAAGATGAATAATGTCAACCTGTAAATCTCTATTACTCTTCAGTCCAGAAGGGTTTTTGTACATGAACAGTTGCCTTATGCCACTGAATTCATTTACGTTTCAGTTGGTGCAGGTAAAGTATTATTTTAGTGACAGGTTTCCTTGAAAACATACTAATAACCATGGAACATGTTATTAAGTTAAGATTATTTATTTATCGAGGTTGTTATCCAGCATTTAAAGCTAGAAATAAACTAATATATTGTAATCAAAAATATGAATGTATCATAAATGAAAAATGATGTCACATTAATCTCCCTTACAATTATAGAAATCTTTGTAAAAGTTGCACATTTACTTCCATATCCAGCTGTGGCTTGTCTCCATAGGTTTGAACAAAGCTTCATAAACAGTCTGATCAATAATTTTGCCAGAGAAGAGAACAAGTATTTCTGGACAGGTCTCCAGGATAGGAATCGCACAGGAGAATACACCTGGCTAACCACAGCCGGGAAACACAAATCCGTATTGTACACAAACTGGAACAGAAATCAACCAGGTAGCTGAGCAAGATATAATGATAATAAAAATAATAATAGATAATTAAAGATTCACCTTTAACTATAGATTAGTGATTAGCAGCTGCACTGGTCATATATGAAGTGTATATGTTTTGAATATCGATATTTAGAAGATTTGTAAAATGCTTTGCATTTTAAGGAAGGTTATAAAACAGTACAATGTTATTATGGTATCAATCTCTTCAGCAGCAAAGTTGGTTATGACTTCTGTTTTTCTCTCTCTCTGTCGGTTTCATTCTATTTGTTGTGAATTCCCTTTGCCTTCCAGCTGCTTCTGGTGGTTGTGTTGTGATGGCGAAAGGGAAATATTTTAACTTTTGGGAAGTTAAAGATTGCATAACCTTCAAAGCTGCTGCTATGTGCAAGCGAGAAGCTGGGCCTCACACAGAACCAACACCCACCCCGGATCAACACCACACGCTGGAAGCTAAATGTCCTTTTGGCTGGGAATCCAGGCCAGATATTCACAACTGCTTCAAGGTGAGAACATTTATTCTAAGTGACATATTTTAGCTAAAAATGGGTTTAGCCCGCTGGGTGTAGTGGAAAAAGTTGGTGCTTGTGGTTAGGAAGCTCTCTGGTTTGAATCCCAGTCTGAGCTGGATTTGCTGGTCTGTCAGGGTGATGTGGGGAGGGTAAAGTGTCTGCATCCGTCACAAAATAAGGGAGGAAGAAACCAGCCTGGTTTGGTGCTCGTGGACTTTCTATAGCACCCTCTGGTGATAGGGATTGATGAGTCTCAGGCAGGTGAGCAGTGGGCAGGTGTAGCTGTGATGGCTGAATGGTTTGCTAACGTTCATTATGAAGTCTCAAACATAATAATAATCTTTGCATTTGATATAAAGCCTTATATTGAAATGTCTCAAAGCGCAGGATTTACTATAGGGTGTAGTGACTGTATGTTTCTAGGCAAATACAGCAGCCAATTAGCTCAGAGGATCAATCATGCAAGTGAATGGCTTCTGAAGGATTGTTGGCCAAGACATGGGGAGAAGCTCCTTCCTTTTTGCAAATAATGCTTTGGGATATTTAACATTTACCTGAACAGTGAGACCAGACGGACTTCGGACAGTTTAACGTCTCACCCCAAAGGACGGCACCTCTGACCATTCAGCACATGCCCTGCACTGCATTATAGTCTAATTATAAGGCAAAGTTACAGGAGTGCAATGATCTGTGATCTTTATATTCTTTGTGGGTGAAGGTTTTCCACCGAGAGAAAGTGTCAATGAAGAGAACGTGGGAACAAGCAGAACAATTCTGTCAACAGTTGGGAGCCCATCTTGCAAGTTTCACCCATTACAATGAGGAGGTTTTTCTGAATGAACTTTTGGGTTGGATGTTTACCGGGTAAGATATTAAATGTCTAATTTTTGAAAAGTGCAGATAACAAAATAGTGTTATTATTCTGTTATAGCTCTGTCTTGTTAGAACCTAGCTTATTTGATCAATAAAATAATATGGATAAAGATACAGATATATATTTATTCAAGATAAAAAGATTTAGTGCTGACAATACTTCTTTCCTCCCATTTGAATTTTGATTGTAAAACACTGTAATCAGTGAGTGATATATATATTTAAATTGATTTGCAAATAAGAATATTTATAAATAAAACAAAAAGGCTTATATAACAATACTGAAACTACTTTGTAGTGAGAATTTTAAAATATAAAACTTATTTTTGTTTGTAAAATGCTCCTTTCAAATTATATATTTTCTATTATTTGGAAAGCTAATATGTATTCCTCATTTAGTTATCATCCACATACCAAGTGCAGGATTGGCCATGAGGCGAACACTAACAAGGGTCAGCTTTGGGAGTAGGATTGTCCCATGATCTTTCCGATCACACCTTACACTCAGTCCCAGGCAAACTCTCCAGTAATTTCCTTCATAGTTTACGGGGATTTCACTCTCGCTGTCTGTATGAAAAGGCAAATTTTGAGACCATGAATTTCTCCTGAATGTTGGCACAACATTTTACTGCATTAATTAATACAATGTTGCTGCTCTACAAGGGAGCAGCTTATCACAAATTTTAAGTTCTGGTTTAAACCATTCTGTTCTGCATTGAGATCAGAACCTTGTCCATATTTACATAACGGAAACCTCATCCTGAGAGCAGAATGGTGATCGTTACCTCACACGCTACACAAACTGCAGCAGAGTCTCAGAGAGTTGTGGATCTTGCTGTAGTTGGACAGGTTCAAGAACCAAAGTAAACCCTTCATTTAAAAAAAACATCTTTGGTATGTGGAAAATAACTTGCACTCAAACACTGAGGAATCATTCCCCAGACAGAGGTAGGTAATTGATTTAACTTTTTGTGTGAGCCACATAACTGCATGTTGAAAATTAATACCTGCATCACTTAAATCTTCAATCTCCAGGTGGCATTTGACTGAAATATAAAGTGATGCTGCCTCCCTTACACACAAACTTTATGCATGATTAGGTGAGCGTGAAATGTGTTTTTGTTTTATGCCAAGATCATGGTATGAGTCTAGTCTGACACCATACTGGGAAAGGCATCATGTTCATGGTCATTAGGTTGTTCTTATTCTGTTACTCTATTGTTCATTCATTCATTTATTTTATCTTTTATTAACTTTGGCTGCTGCTGCTGACCACACTTCCTTCCTTCCTTCACTCAGAAAGGCTTGTTGGTCTATGTTAAAATGTTTCACAACTCCCTCAATCTTACTCCAGTAAAAATGATTAAAAACTGTAATTGTAGCTTATGAGTACTTCAATAACAGAAAAACAACAGAGAAAAATGTATGAATCACAAAGCGCTTCACAGGATATATTGTAAAGTAGATTGACTGTGTATTTTGTGGGTAAAACGCGGCAGCCAATTGTGCACGTAATTCTATATAATAAGCAAGTTTTTTGTGTGGTTCAAATTGAAAAGAATTATAGAATTGACCATGTGTTTTAAGCAGCCAATCTGGTCTGGTATTTTCAGACCGAGCTGCAATCATTCTCTCACTCAAACTCATTCATGAGCTATTTTCAAAATGATTCCTTTGCTTCGATGTTTAACTTTCTACCTTTTAATTTTCTGTTCCAATTTTCCTCTCTTGTATTTATTGTGAGTTGGTATTAGCACATATGTTTTTACTCTCCAGTTGCATTTCTATCACATGATTGAATACATGAAAGTACAAGTGGCCCCAACAAATTGTACATCTTAGAGCCATGTATTTTCCTGAATGTTATGAGTTCAAAGAGCATTAAGTGGGGCGTTCCAACTAAGTCAAAGAAAAATTATAGTTATAACCAGGTCAAACTTTGATGCAATTTCAGACCCCAAACCAGATAAAAAGCTGCTGAACAAATATACCCAGCTGTGCTCTCTAGAATCTAGAGTAAAAAAAAATGATAATAATTGGGTTACTCAATCCACGGCTGTTTATGGGACGATGCTGTGAGCAATTGCCTGCTGAGTTTCACCCCCAAAATATACAGTCAATTCATTTTACAGCATATTCTGTGATGCAATATATTCGAGTGCTTTAAGATGTCTCAAAGACCTGATAAGGCGCTATATCAAATGCGAGGATTATTATTATTAACTGACACTTAACTAAACTCATCTACAGCATTTAATAAGTTAATAGTGTGTGACTTTCCTGCTGCCCCCCAAAAAAAATTCACTTGCAAAATCATATCACTGCCCAAATAATTAATATTTATTCAAGAAAAAGTGAAATGAAGATTATGTTTTGTATATATTGTTAATTCCAGGGCAGAGGAAAGGTGGTTCTGGATTGGGTTTAGTAAAAGGAACCCAGTTTCTGCCGGTTCCTGGGAGTGGAGTGATGGCAGTCCGGTAAGTAGATACATCTCTTCTTTACTTTATTATACTTTCCTGAAATTACTTTGTTCACTTTTCTTATATTAATATTCGATGACATGCATTCTGTAACTTTATATAATAATAATCCTTGTATTTGATTCAATGCCTTGTCATGTCTTTGAGACGTCTCAAAGCGCTTCAAAGAATATACTGTAAAGTGTAGTGACTGTACATTTTTGTACGTGAAACATGGCATTGTTCACATCAGTGTCCCACAAACAGTCGTGGATTGAGTGACCAAATTATTTCTTTCTCCATTATTTTGAAGGGATTATTACATATATTACATAGACACTCAGTATTAGCTTGAAGATTAAATCAAATGAAGGTGTAAATTAATTTCTTGTAGAATTGGCTTTCATCCTACACTGACTTTATTTCTGCTCGACTCCCTTCCTATCTTCCCTCTGTCCCTGACCTTCTTCAGATCTGCTCTGTCTTTATGAGCATTCCTGCTGCCTTTGATCAGACTCCAGAGCTGCTATTCCTGGGCAAACATTAGTATTTTTAAATCATGTCAAACGTGATTGTTTGCTTTCTCCTGGGCCCTACTCTCCTTTTTAGACATGAACAGTGGGAAAAACACAGTTTTAAATGGCTAAAAACTGGCAATCGACTGGATTTGAGGCATCTCAATGATGTGATAAGGCGCTAATACAAATACAAGGAATATTAATATATTATTATATTACTTGTGTTTGATATTTTACAGGTGGTTTCTATGTTCTCACTTGACCAAGCTAAAGATGATGATGTCAGAATCTGTGCCGCACTCAAATTCGATAAAACTATTGTGCCTTTCCAATGTGGCGAAAACTTTGAATGGGTTTGTAAAATACCCAAAGGTAAAACATTGGTTTTTTTAAAACATCCCAAAAGAATTGTAATTACTACAGTATCTGGTCTAATGTGATATAATAATATAATATAATATGTGTGATCCATATTTAAGTAACCAAATATGATTCTTCTTCAGGAGCCGAGCTGCAGAAACCAGACTGGTATGTCGATGGTAAGCAGGAATAGTATTGACAACAATGAGTACAAAGGTGGTTTAACATGCATTTCACATAGAACAGAGGTGGGGCACACATTCCCTAATCATCTGTTGTATTCTGAGTACCTCAATAGCCTCATTATAGAGTCACTTCGTATTAATTAATCACAGGAAAATATTTAAATAATTTTACTTAATACAGGAATATCTTGGAAATTTAAAAGAATTTCATCAATTGGTAAAGGAAAGCTGCAATAATGTTTTCAAGTAAGAGTTGCGTTTATTGTCAAAACAAAGTGCTGCAGTATTAATATGTTGTTTGCTACTGGCACGGCACAGAGAGACACACCAGGAACACATGTCACGTCTGACTTACTGAATTGTATTCCTGGCCATTGTGAATTGTTTCCTCTGTAGAAGAGAAGTTTGCGATCCCCCCATGGGTTTACTTTCAAGGAGCGGAATACTTGTTTTTCGACTTGGAGGTGAAGTGGCTCGCAGGCGCTGTGGCTTGCACTATGATGAGCAGTGAGTTGGTGTCAATCACAGCTCCCAAGGAGATGGATTTCATTAAAAACAGACTGGAGATGGTAAAGTGCTCTCCTGATTTACTTCACATTCAGAAAGTTATTTTAAACCCGTGGTTTAAATTCCACTAAACACTCGTAGTGAACCCACAGAAATACCTGAAAAATTAAGCTCATTGTCTCGTATGATTCTGAATCGATCAATCATCAATTTATTGATGTTTTGTTAATGGTTTTTGTCTGCGGTTTCTGTGCTTCTCAGCATCAGGGTGAGAAGGTGACCGGAGACTCGGTCAAAGAGGAGAGTCTTGAGCCGAGCCTTAAAGGAGGCGAGGGGGGCTGGGGGGCGGGCAGGTGAAGGGCCTACGGGAGAGATTTCCGGTGGGGGGGAGAAGGACTGACTGCCGATGGTGGGGTGGGCAAGGCGGAGCAGGCTGGAGCCCACCGAGTGGAGGGAGTGGACAGATTGGTAAGGATTTAGCAGGTGTCAGAGGTGGGTTAGGCCATGGGGGCATACAGAAAAAATATTCACACACAGAAAAAATATTCACATACAGAAAAAATATTCACACACAGAAAAAATACAGATCTGAAAATGTTTTTTCCTAAAATCTTTGATTTTGATCTGCAGCTTTTAACAACCGGACATGAAAAGTGGTGGATTGGTCTGTACGTGGAGAACCCCAAAGATGGATTCCGGTAAGACATGACCAGTTTAATCTCTGGTATCAGCGCCACTTTAACAAAGAGGTATTTATCTTTTTTTTGTGTAGTTGGATAGATGGCTCAGCATTTCATTACAACAACTGGGATAACAAGTACCCAAGTAACCTGCATAAACAGAGTGGCCGATGTGTGTATGCATCAACAACAGGTAATCACTCTCTTATACAAGTAGTGAGAGTTATATTGTTTTAATCTTTTGCGGTAATTAAGTTAATAATCGATGCCAACTTGGCAAGTTGGTAGCTTGTATTTTATAATGTACATGTCAATGTGTTCTTCATGCTTTTTGATTGTGAAATTAGAATCCAGACAAAATGCTTCTATATACTTACTGGATGTTTAATAATTCTCCATTAATTGTTTGCGTATTTGTTTTTCCGGCCGGAGGTTGGGCTGATAGCAAGTGCTTGCTGTCTCTCCCCTTCATTTGTAAACGTAACAACATATCCCTGGTGGAGGTTCACATGTTTGACGATGATCATTCAGACCTGTTGTGCCCAGAAGGCTGGCTGTACTTTGAGAACAAGGTGATTTCAAAACAAAGGAAATGTATTCTTTACTTCGCATGTTTGGTTGTTAAAATCCTATTTGTTTTCTTAAAGTAACTACTGATTCTCTAGATTAGAACAGAGTATCACTTGGTCAAAATATTTGTAGAGTTGCCATTTTGCACATGTTAAATTAGACTTTAAACTTGCAAAAAAGTATAGCTATGTACAGTGTTACTGTATCTTGGATTATTCAGAATGATGATTATAGGATTTCTGTCAGTGATCCAAAGAAAAATTGGTATATTGAAACTCATTAAGCCAACAATTCAAAACACTTAATAAATATGTTAATAATGGTACTATTTTACTTTTGTGCTAATACTAACATATGCAATTAAATTACTGGCATTTGTCTTTGCTAGATTTGATTTAGGTTTGCACACAAATAGACAATGTATTTGCAGAATGTTTATCACTTGTTTTAAAAGGAATCTTTCCTGACGGCTGACATTTCTCTCCCAGTGTTTCCTGATGTACAATCCCAAGGACAAGAGTCAATTAAAGAACTGGTATTCTTCCCAGATGTTTTGCAAGGTACGAGGAGGAACACTTGCCTCAATAGAAAATGAAATAGAACAAGGTATTTTGAAATATCCATTGAGACTTTAATAGATGAACAGGGATATTTATTCCTCAATTATACTAGTGTCAATCAATAGATCATTTCCACATGACTATTGATGTATTGATGTAACTTTGAGCTTCGTTCTCGGAGATGGAGATGGATTCAGCAAAAATCAATGTGCAGTGTTACTACAACTCACATGATATGGTGCAGAACAACTTCCCTCCCTCAATAATTGCCCCCGCTACCCACCCCTGCAATTTCACAAACATGGCTTTTCCATTCAATATAAATTCCATGGACAATGATAAGGGTAAAGTAACTGTTCTGCCCAATAACTCAGTGGAAGAAAAGAAACACATCTTATAGATAACACTATACTGCTGACAGACATGGGTGTCAATAGAGGATATGATCCCCCCCCGCCCAGTTCCTATATAGTTTTTCTTTATTTTGTTCTGTTTAGATGGATGACTAGTTACATTAGTTACTGTTGTGCGGATCCTGGTTATGGCCAGTGAACTTTGTTCAATAATCAGCATGTTCTGCTCCCACGACTGCTTAATTATTGGGCTATTTCTCAGATTCTTCCAACCTTGAAGTTTAGACCTTATTCTATATTCATCATGTTACTTATTTAGGAGACGCTTAGAAAGGAATTTAAAAAAAGTATAAATTGTTTGTTAATGAGAAAATGGAGTGGAAGCTTCAATCCCAGTTGCTCCTATTTTTCTTTCTATAAAACTCAACAGCGTTTTTAACAATCCAGCTGCTGGAGGGATCAGCCGGTGTGTGGCTCGGGCTACACAGTGACAACTGGGACAATTGGGTGGATGGCAAACCTGTCAAGTACACAAACTGGCTCGCAAACGAGCCAATACAAGTTCCTGCAGCTGTCGATTCTGATCACAATCATCCCGTAAGTCTCTTTTTTTCATTCTGCTGTATAAAAATGTCATTTGCAAAACTTTAGCAAAATCTTTTGATACGTGCAACATAATAAATAATAATAATAATAATAATCACTGTTGCATGGGCAGTATTACACTTACAATCTGGTGCCTACGGTTATTTATTTGTCAGGAAGATTTCATGATTTGTTTGTAGCTTACAGGACTTTATTAGACTTCGGGGAAGATAAATAAATCTGCAAAATTAGGTAAACGGAGTCTTCCCACAATCTTCCTTGTATCATTTACTTAATGAACCAACTAGAAAAGCAATTAAAAAGTAAAAATGATTCAAGTTAAATGTAACTTATGGAAAGGTTAAAAACTGAATTGATGCATTGATTATTGAGCAGTTCTGACAATGTCAGGATAATGAAACCTCTTAAAATGAATAGTGAGACAAGACAAGATCAAAGAAAGTTTTGAGTTAGGGATTGTATCCTCACCAAAATCTAAATGAAATTCTAAGATGGCGACAGTTTTGATTATGAAATGCAATGTTTACATTGGCTGCTTCACTGGTATTTGTAAATGAGCTGTTTTCATCTCCAGTTCATAGGAACTGTGATTGACGGGCAATATCTTTGAGTAAGCTGCTTACATGTTCCTAAGCTAAACAGAAAATAAATATGAGAGTGGAATCAAAGGGTGACTGTAGGGATATTCAGTGGGTTAGAAACAATAATATAATAATAACAATACACTGCTCTGTTAGCTGTGAGAGTTTATTGGGAAATGAATTTGGGCAGTTTCAACCTCATTTCTTGGTGGAATAGATTATGGCCAAAGGATACATCTGCTCACAAATCTGTGTTAAATTTAAAACCTTGTTCAGAGGTCAAACACAATGGTTGGTGTAGGAAATTAAAGACAAACTCACACTGTTTGTGATTGCATTAATCTAAGACTCCCCTGTCTGTCTGGCTCCCTAATGAGACTTTGAGGGGTAGCCTTTTTCTCAACCCTGTGATTCACAGTTCTGATGTTAAAATACAAAAAAGACTATATATTTCTGTAAAGCCTATATGAAGCCTGAATGCAACACTTATTTACGGCGTTGGACATGTAATTGGCTTTGTTTTAAATTCAGATACTGTGAAATTTATCAGATTGGCAACCCACATGGTTAGCATTATTGTTTTACATCACAAATCAGAGTTTGCCCTTACTATTGTACAATAAAATACAGCAAAACAATGTTGATAATAATAATAATCCTGGCATTTGATATAGCACTTTTTACGTCTTCTAGACGTCTCAAAGTGCTTCACAGAATAGACTGTAAAGTGAATTGACTATGTTTTTGTGGGCGAAATATGTTTAACTTTAGGCTGCAATACAACAACAACAACAACTTGCATTTATACAGTGCCCCTCAATGCAGGATGTTCCAGAGCACTTGACAGTGGTGGAGCACGACACCAAGCTGGGGGGAGGGGGAGGTGACTGTAGGCACGATCGAAGAGGAAGGTTTTTAGGCGTGACCTGAAGATCGGGAAGGTGGGGGCATGGTGGAGGGACAGAAGAAGAGTGTCCCAGAGTTTCAGGATGTAGTGGTCGAAAGCACGGCCACCAATGGTGGAACAAAGGGCACGAGGAACAAGAAGAGGCCAGAGCCAGTAGAGCGAGGGTAGTGGGTTGGGGAGTAAACAGGTCAGAGAGGTTGGAATTTAATACTTGCTCAACTGTCAATGTTTTCAGCAATTATAAATTGCACAGGTTTTAAAATACTCATTTTACCTTTGACTTATTGAGCATGTAAATATTGATCCCGCACATTGTGTGGTTATCTTATCGCTCGTATTCTTGTTAATTCAGTTTTTGTGCTTTGGTTGATTCAGGACTTTAAGTAATTTGATTGTTTCTTGTGCCATTTAATGTACTTATTATTAGAAATCATGAAATCTTCTCATGGATGTGGGGAACAGTAGAATCTGATTTATATCCTTTGTCAATGTTTAGGAAAGCAGACAAGATGTAAGACTTTAGCCCTAAGCTGTCATTAGCAGAAATATAAACCATATAAGCAATTAGTTTGTTCAAATTAGAGTAGCAGATGCTTGGTAATATTTCCAAAATTATTGTTGCAGAAACGTTCGTCTAGTTCATTAAATGCAAATTGTTCATAAAAGGAAACATTTCTTCTGTTTTCCTATTCAAGATTTCAATTCAAGAGAATATTGTTGTTAAACAAACATCTTTGACAAATATATGTGCTACAGGACCTTATCCTCAAGTATCCATGCATTAACAGAACTGCTTCCACATGTAATAATAAAAAATAATAATTGGGTCATTCTCTGGACTGCCCACAGATAGCCTGTGTTTCGATCACAGGTGAAGCTTGTAGGACCCATCCCCTCGTCACTGGGTGATTGATCTCCTGGCTGAGGCCAGCAGTTATTAAGGGCCCAATTGCAACAATGAGCGAGTAGTAAATTTAGGAAGAGGCTCCCGAGCGAAGACAGACAGTGGAAAGTGTGGATTCACTCAAAGGCAAATGAGATAGATTTCTGTTCGGAAATAATATCTGGGGATACAGTATATAGTTTGGGACAGGACGTGTGCAAGTGATGGCCAGGATGGTGGAGAGTGAACTGGATGGACCTTGTCTTCTTCCCTCTAGCAATTCTTATGCTCTGTTTGTAGCTAGTCATTTGTTTTTTAAACAAAGTGTGGGTAATCATATTTTATATTAATACCACAATGCCTGGTTAATACCAGATTCCTGAATTTATTTCACGACATGTGTAAAATGTATGTGTTAAAATATACCTAACAATAATAGATAACACCTTTTTTGTCTTGGCAGGCTCCAGAACATTCTAACAGTCCAAACTTACGAGAGGAATCAAAAAAGTGTGTGTTATTGTCCAATAGTCATGCTTTTCATTCCACTGGAAGATGGTACACAAGAAATTGCAATGCAAAGAGTTATGGTTTTGTGTGTCAAAAATACGCAGGTGAATGAAGTCCTAAAGAGACATTGTCTTAATATGTTTTGAGTGTGATTTGAGTTAATTGTGAGCTGCAATTGTTAACAGTTTTATCCTGTCTTGATAGATAAATCCATGCATCCTGTCAACGCATCATGTATGTATCCAATACCTGAAACGTTTGCATACGGAAACCACACCTACAGATTGATCCGGAAGAATCTTAGCTGGTACGAAGCATTGAATGAATGCAGACTGAAACAGGCTGACCTTGTCAGCATTACTGACCAATATCACCAAGCATTTCTCACAGTCATTGTGAACAGGTTGGCACAGCGTCATTGGATAGGACTCTCTAGCCCAGATGTAGGTCACGTAAACCTATATTCCTTCTAATAGATTTTTAAAAACATTTAGTTTGGAGAAAAACAAAGAAATAACTGTAGTAAGTTATCCTAATAATGTGTGAATATCATCCCTATGTGTCATGTGGTTTGCTTACAGGGTGGAGAGAGCTTTATTTGGTCGGACACCAGTCCCGCTTTGTTCAGCCATTGGGCAGAGGGAAGCCTTCGCTCCTCTCATGATTGTGTGTATATGGATATTAATGGTTTCTGGAAAACTGCTGACTGTCAAAGCCAACTCCAGGGAGCGCTGTGCCAGATTTCACAAAGTAAGAATTCCTGAATTGTATTAAACAATGATCTGAATTAGTTTACATTTTTCATAAGACAGAAAAGGGGAATGAAAGTTAAGGATACAGTTTATAGTTTGGGATATGACATATCAAGTGATTGCCAGGATGGTGGAAGTCAAACTGGATGTACTTTCGTTTAGCAAATTTTAATGTCCTTATGTTCTCAATATGGGTCTTGAATTGTTAGAGATGGAAATCATTTCTCAAACTAATATGATGAAGTTCAGCTTGACATGCCTCTCTTAAAACTCCAGTTGGCAAAACTAAATGTTTATCATAATTTCCTGAGTTTCATCAAAATCAATTGTTGTCCACATTTCAAGGTGAAGAAAGTCAGTAAAATTAAATAATGTAATCCTTGCACTTGATATAGCTCCTTATCGTGTCTTGTAGATGTCTCAAAGCATTTCACAGGATATACTGTATATTTGTGGGCAAAACGCAGCAGCCAATTGTGCACAGTCGTGGATTGAAGTGACAAATTTATTTATTTTTTCAGGAGGGATTATTATCAGGTATGTAGAGTAAGGAAATTTGCCCAAGGTTTCGTCCTGCAAGGAATTAAATCCAGGGCTCTCGCTTGCGAGGCGAGTACTCTAACCACTGAGATACAGGACTCCAGTAAAATTACAGACGTTGCAATAAATATTTCTAGATCAGGATTAGAGATTCCTGAATATTTCTAATCTTTCTTTTTTTTACAGCTCGATTATCCAGTCCTCCCACTGTCCAGACAAAGATTTGTCCACATGCAGATACAAGTCTCCCCTGGATCACATTCCGTGACCACTGTTACCTTTTCGATCTGGTTTTGTACAATTCTTCCAGCTTAACAATTAAAGAAGCCAAAGAAATTTGCAGAAATCTGGGTAAGAAACGTGAAGAAGTGCTGTGATCAATTACTTTTGAAATCTGCTATTGAATCTTAATATTAACCTGAACCGTACTCCAAATGTTTTTTTCAACGTTTCAGTTCCAGAATCTATTATTTTGCATGTTAAAGATGAAGAAGAAAACAACTTTATTTTGGAACAAATCAAACCGTACAGCCACATTGTGCAAGTGGTCTGGTTGGCCATTGTGTTTGACACAGGCGGTAAGTAATAATTAAGCTCATTTAGATAACATTAAAATGTTTTTGCTAACACGTGATAAGGCGCTATATCAAAGGCAAGTATTATTATAAGACAGTTGAGAATAATGTGCGCACATATCAAATGAAGGGTTGTAGCAGGATACCATTGGCCTTATCTGCTTTTCATCATTTTGAGTCCATATAACCCACTTCCTGTCAAGTGCCTTGGATTTTTTTCCACAAAGGCTAATTGCAGGGCAACATTCTTCAACAGTCACATGAAAATATTCCAATCTGCTTCTCTGATCTGCTCTAGATAAAACCCTGAAATGGTTTGATGGAACTCCAGTAACGTATTCAAACTGGGGTGTAGAAGGACCTGATGCAGATCATCTTGTTGTTGATCTGTGTGCTGGCATGAGGGCCTCAGATGGCATGTGGTTGATGTTTGATTGTGAAGAACAATTCGGAGCTGTATGTAAAACACATGCAGGTATGGACTTTAATAGTTGTTCAAACAATAGCTTGATTCATTTGTTCTCGCAAAAATCAAATTAAGCAATATTTCCTCATCTATTCTCATGAAGTGAGTTTAAATGGCATTGTAATTAATAGTTGTAGCTTTTTGAATGTGATTAGAAAATTAATATAAACGACAAATAAATGCGCTTGTTCTTGAGAACCTTCAAGGTTTTCTTAATGTAAATCTACTTTGTAACACTAGATGGCAGTAGGAACAGTTTTTTTATGAAGAGGTTTTGAGTCAATATTTTATTCTGATATGAACGGGTTTCTTAATAGAGATGAAATTGGCAATAATTAGATTTAGCAATTTTTGTAGGATTTTTAAACCACTTATTTCCTGCATCCGTTTCACCCACAAATACTCAGTCAATTTACAGTAAAGCGCTTTGAGACGTCTCGAAGACATGATAAGGCGCTATATCAAATGCAAGGATTATATTTATTATATCTATTTATTTTTAATTAGTAGGGATCATTGCAACACTGACAAACTGCAGGGTTCAGATATGCAATTCTTTACAAGCAGGATATCATGGATGTGTTTAAAATTTTAAAAGGGTTTGAGAGAGTAAATAGGTTAGTTTTTTTTAAATGCACAATTTAGCTTTTTTTTACTTGCACACAATGTCAAGCATTCAGTTTTCTTGCTGTTTTCTAAAGGATATGGTTCACAGTGGGTCTTATTTTCCTGATCATTGATTATTACCCGTTTGATCCATTTACGTATCCTAATGATATACAAACAAATGTGTGAGATATTGAATTAGGTAGCAGAGAATTATGCCCAAGCTTTCCATACAATTTCCATCTTCTATCATTTCAGATTTGAGTGAAAACATCACTAAGTCACATGGTAAGTCACATTATTATTAATAATCTATTATTAAGTCACATACAGAAATATGTTATGACTTGTGGTGTTAAGTAGAATGGAAATAAAACCTGGTTTCATTTATTAAAAAAATGAAATTTATACATTCACAGCAGTCTCAAGAGTGAGAAAAAGATCATGTGAAACACAAGTCTTCATTCAATTATGTCAAAGAAATTGGTATCTGTGCCTAATGTAACTGTTATTCCGAACTGACTATCAAAATTTGGAATTTCCTGATGTGTAAGGCTGACCTCAGGGAGCAGTAATGTGTCTTTATATTTAGTTTTTGAATTGATGCTTCTAAATCTGTGTGTGCGTTTTCAACTCCCAGGAGAACTTTTACTGCAGGAATGATAGGCTTTCACTCCCTGCCTGTCTCACTGTTTTCCTCTGTAGAGATACTTTTTATTGAGAGATTGAGGGTTTTGAGATCTGTAATTGAATGTCAATTTTACTTCTTTGCGATTCTTCCCGCAGGATTTCAAACAAAAAATCGAACCCTCCTTAACGTGGTGATATCTCTGGTAGTGATTGTGCTGGCTGCTGGGCTGGGCTGCTACCTTTACAAGCGGAATCCAGTCCTTTTCAGATTCTCTGGGAATGCCTACTTCAGGCAATCTGTCCCTGAATGTACTGATTATGATGGCAATGTTCTTATTTCTGCATTTGAGACAAATGGTGGAAATTAAACGAAGGAAATGACACCCCAAGTGCTTCCGGGAAAGAGAACTTTGGAAAAATATGTTCTTTTGATTTCAGTTTCTGAAATGTAACACTTGTACAGCCGTTGAGGAAATTATTCAGATGTTTTTAAAAAGAAATTAACTGTATTTTTATTTTTTTCAATGGCGTTTGGTTCCCAGAAATTATGATTTTGGTGATCAAAGTGGATAGATTGATGATCCAAAATTCAATACTTATAGCTCATTTAAATACAAAAGTAGGGTGAATCATTATGAAGCTTCCTGAAGGCAAGTTTCTGTACTTTGCAAATGGAATTTAAGAATTCCAGATGTAACCAGATTTTCTAATGTAAAATGACAGACTTCATTTCATCTTATCATTTCCAAAAAAGTAATTTAATAAACAGTTTAATTGTTGGTATTTTAACCTTCAGTACATGTGTAAATGTATTCTTTAAGTTGGAAATAATTTCCTTGTTTTCTTTTAGATCATTATTGTGTCATTATCATGTTGTCTTTCTCTTTTAGTGCAGCTACAAAGCATAGGTGTGTTTTTCTTTGTTCTGGTATTCTACAGGATGATCAAAAAGTCATGATAATTACCCTATTATCTAAAAAAAGTCATCATTTCTTTAAGACTTATTAGACATGTTGTTGGTATCACGACTTTTTGGTTACCCTGTATTTCTGTTGTAGTTTCCTTTATTTTAATTCATAGAATACTTTCAATTCTCAAAACATTCCCTTTTGGGTTGAATTACTTCACTTCTGAGGAAGAACAGTCATAACATTACATGTAGGAGCAGGAGTAGGCCATTCGGCCCTTCGAGCCTGCCCTGCCAAGCAATCATGGCTGATCTTCTAATCTAACTCCAGCTAATAACCTGACGCTGCCTTATCCCCATATCCCTTAATCCCTTTTTCAATAAGAAATCTATCTATCTCAGTCTTGAATATGTTCAAGGACTGAGCATCAACAGCCCTTTGGGGTAATAATAATCCTTGCATTTGATATAACGCTTTTCACATCGGGAGGACGTCCCAAAGCGCTTCACAGAACACACAGTAAAGTGAATTGACTGTATATTTGTGGGCGAACCCGGCAGCCAATTGCGCACAGCAATGTCCCTCAAACAGTCGTAGATTGAAAATGACCAATTTATTATTGTTTTTGGTTTTGGAGGGATTATTATTAGGCTCTGTGTGGAGTAAGGAAACTTGCCCAAGGTTTCGCCCTCTGCCTGGGATTGAACTCAGGTCTCTCACTTGCAAAGCGAGTGCTCTAACCACTGAGCTACAGGACTCCACAATACATTCCATACATTCACTGCCCTTTGAGTGAAGAAGTTCTTCCTCAACTCAGTGCGAAAGGGCTGCCTCTGATTTTAAGGTTGTGACCCCTGGTTTTAGTGTCTCCAACCGGGGGAAACAATCTCCCACTATCCACTCTATCATTGCCCTTTGATGATCTTATAGGTTTCTATAAGATCCCCTCTAATTCTTCTTTATTCTAGAGAATATAGGCCCAAATTGGTCAGCCTATCCTCGTAACTCATCCCCTTCATCCCTGGCACTAACCTAGTAAATCTACGCTGCACTCCCTCCACGGCAAGTACGTCCTTCCTTAAATAAGGAACTGCATACAGTATTCCAGGTGTGGTCTCACAGGGCCCTATACAGTTGCAGCAAGATTTCCCTACTCTTATACTCTAATCCTTTCATAATGAATGCTAACGTACCGTTCACCTTCCTAATTGCTGCTGCACCTGCAGACTAACTTTCTGTGATTGGTGTACAAGGACACCCAAGTCCCTCTGGACGCTAACACATTCCAATCTCTACCCTTCAAAAAAATAACCCGCTCTACTGTTTTTGCTCCGGTGGATGACTTCACACTTCCCTACATTATACTTCATCTGCCACCTACCTGCCCAATCACCTAACCTACCTATGTTTCACTGCACTTTTTTAATGTCGTCCTCTGTGTTGACACTTCCTCCTAGTTTTGTGTCATCCGCGAATTTAGATATATTAACTTCGATGTCCTCATCTAGATTGTTGATGTAGAATGGTAAATAGCTGAGGCCCAAGGACTGATCCTTGTGGCACTCCACTAGTCACATCCCGCCAATCTGAAAAGGACCCATTTATCCCTACTCTTTGTTTCCTACCCGTTAACCATTCCCCAATCCACGTTAATATGCTCCCCCAATTCCATGGGCCCTATCTTTTGGACTAACCTTTTATGCGGCACCTTATCGAATGCCTTCTGGAAGTCCAAATAGACCACATCCACTGATTCACCCTTATCAAGTTTACTGGAAATATCCTCAAAAAAATTCTATGAGATTTGTCAAACATGACTTCCCTTTTGTAAAGCCACGTTGACTTGGCCTAATTATGTTGTGCCCTAAATATCGCACTACCACATCCTTAATCAATGATTCTAAATTTTTTCCTATCACTGATGTGAGACTAACTGGCCTATAGTTCCCCATCTTTTCCTTTCCACCTTTTTTAAATAGTGGTGTGACATTTGCGATCTTCCAATCCATGGGGACTGTTCCAGAATCCAAGGAATTTTGGAAGATCAGACATAAGGCCTCCACTATCTCATAAGCTCCTCTTTTAAAACCCTGGGACGCAAGCCATCCGGACCGGGGATTTGTCACTTTTTAGGGCTAATAGTTTCCCGAGCAGCAATTCTCCACTAATGAAAATTTCCTTAAGTTGCTCCCTGTCCTTATCACCTTGGTGCATCTCTATTGTTGGCAGATTTGTTGTACTCATTTGGGACTCTGCCATGTCTTTATCCCCCATTACAACTTCTCCCGTCTCTGACTGAAGTGGACCTACATTTACCCTCAATAGCCTATTCCTCTTAATATATTTGTAAAAACTTTTACAATCAGACTTAATGTTCGTCGCTCGCTTACCCTCATACTCCTTTTTCTTGCTCTTAATGAGTTTTTCAGTTTTATTTTGCTGGTTTCTAAAACTCTCCCAATCTTCAGATTTGCTGCTTTTCTTGGCAGTTTTATAAGCCTTTTCTTTTAATTTGATGCTTTCCCTAACTGCTCTAGTTAGCCACGGATGAATTGCTTTCCCTGTGGTACTCTTATTCCGCAAGGGAATATGCGACCGCTGAGAATTTTGCACTACATCCTTAAATATTTGCCACTGTTGGTCTACATTTTTACCTCTTAATCTTATTCTCCAGTCTATTTTACCTAAATCTTTCCTCATACCTACAAAATTAGCCCTATTTAAATTCAGAATACTTGCCTCGGATTTAACTATATCCCTTTCTAACATAATGCAGAATTCAATCATATTGTGATCACTCTGCCCTCGAGGATTCTTAATACCTACACTGCCAACTCGCTCTGTTTCCTTACACAAAACAAGGTCTAGGATGGCCTGTCCCCTGGTCGGTTCCTCGGCAGCTGCTCTAGAAAGTTATCTCTCATACACTCAATGAACTCTTCTGACCTACTTTTGCTGATTTGGTTTTCCCAATCTATGTGGAGATTGAAATCACCCACTATTATCGCTTTACCTTTCCTACACGCTCCACTGATTTCTTGATTGATTCCCTGTGCTATATTGTGATCGCTGTTTGGGGGTCTATAAACCACTCCCATTAATATTTTCTGCCCTTTATTATTTTTTATTTCCACCCATATTGTCTCGACCCCTGGTCATCGGATTTCAGATTCTTCCTCTCCAATGCTTTTATTTCATCCCTAATTAACAGGGCCCCCCCCCCCCCACCTTTTTTCCCACAGTGCCTATCTTTCCTGTAAAGTGAGAACCCTGGAATATTTAACTCCCCCTCGATCTCCTTGTAACCATGTTTCAGTGATGGCCACTCGATCGTACCCATATGTGTCTCTCTGTGCTTTTAATTCATCAGTTTTATTCCGAATGCTTCGCGCATTCAGATATAACATTTTTAATTTCCGACCATTTCCTCTACTCTCTGATTCCTTATCGGCTTTGCCAAAGCTTCTTATCCCTAGTTAACATATTCCTATTATCTGGCATGCTATTCTGCGCTAACGCTAATGCCAGTCTCCATCATAATTCTTACAGTCCTTCACTTTTTCTGGAAATACCAATATCACTGCCTTTTTCTACCATCAGATTGTGTTCTTTGTATCTCACTGGCTTCTTGTCAGTGTATTGCAAACCTGATGAGATTACATTTCCAGCGGACACCCTGACTAGAATTTATTCTTCTCTCCAACTGGGTGTTTTGATGAAATTAGATATTTTAAAATGAGCAATTACCCCCGTTGTGATCTCACCAAGTTTCTATATTTGTATGTGTATATTTACTGTATACAGTCTCCGGCTGTTCTGTGTTTTCTATTAGAAGGTTTTCAAGAGTAAGTTTTGCACACATTTGGATGCCAACAAAAGGCACAGAAAGACTCTGACAGTATCGCTGTGCTTAGTCACTGGGATATGCACACAAAGCAAACACACTCTTTATCAAGTTGCTCTACCGGTTATTCTTCATTAATGTGGAGTAGTCTGGTATCTCTATGATCTCCTCCTCCCCCCTACTCCTGTGCTTACTCACTCCAGCTTGCTGTGACCCCATGCCCTCGCCACACCATCAGCAAGACCATCATCGACCGCGCCTTTGGTCACCCTTCTACCCCCACCCTACCCACCCTCCACCCCTCATGATCCCAACCCCACCAGCTCGGTTCCAAATCCCTGTCTGTCCAGCGCCTTTTGGATATGAAAGGCGCCGTGTAAATGTCATTTGTTGTTGTTGTTGTCATTGGCGGCTAAGCTTCTTGATCCTATGCTCCCTAACCTCTGGAACTCCCTCCCTCGTCTCACCCCCTCCCTATTGTCTAAGTCCCTTTGTTGTTGTTTTGCTGAGTTTGTATAAAAAATTATGTTTTGTTAGACAATAGCTAAGGATATATTTCTAGTTTTTTTTTAAATGAAATCATGTCACACTTGTCATTGATCAAATGTGTACAAATCATGTAATACTTGTCATTGTTTGTATGAAATCTTTTATTAAATGTGTCATGTCAGTATTCCTATCTTTGACTCATTTACATTCATATTTCACTGGCGTATAATTGCCTCAAAGCTAAACAAAGATATTTAATTGTTATTAATGATTTAGCAGCATGAATAAAGAATGGAGTTGAACTCATAAGGTACCACACAATAGTTACATTGCACATTTATGATATTTATAGCATCAAATATTGCCACTTTTTTAAAAAATTGACTTTCATTAGTTATTCCTTCCTGACCCACCTAGTTGAGAAGGAATGTTTAGATTAGGTTGCACAGGTAAATACAAATAGGAAAAAATATACTTTAATAATAATAATAATCCTTATATTTGATACAGCAATTTATCACATTAATGAGATGTCTCAAGGCACTTC